GTCGTTGTCGCGCTCGGCATACGACACGGCCGTATAATTAGGAATGCAAAACGTCTCACTCACATCAGCTCTGCTTATATAGCTGTGTCATGCGTGTGTTTATGTGCAATGTGAATATGTGCTAGTGTGTGCACGCGCCTTCGTCGTCTAAATGTTTATAATCGCGTGAATCATGATTATTCCACATAGAACCAGTCGTTCTCTGCATCGTGACACATATATAATGTCGATACTTGACACATGCCGCGGCGAGATAAACGCGGTACTATGTAGGTGCGGGCGCGAATCTAAATTCTAATGTACCTCGTTTTCCTGTGAATTGCATTTCGCGCGAAGTGTTATGTCTCATTCTTCGATCGATAGATCGATGCAACACGACTCGTTCTTTGCTTTTTTTTCCTCTCTTGCGTATTAAAGTGTAAGTGATAATCGACGAGATCGCGAATCGTCAAAGCGACAAGAAAGTGGGAGCTCGATTGATAAAAGTCTGCTACTGCACGTCGAATCGTCGTGATGTATGTTTTCTGTATACTTCTAAGTCTTTAAACCATTTGTTTTTTATTTTCTCATCGTTAATCATATTTCCATCGTATTATGAACCGCTTCCAACTACATACGCATACTCTCCTTTCCCCCCCCGCATATCTGTCACCAAAAATTCAAGTGGTTCTGAAGAGCGTCGAATGTGTCGTCACGAAATGCTGTGCTTCGATCCTTTTACGATCGTTCCCAAAACACCACCACCCGCGCACAGACGGTTCGCACGTGTTTCTATAAATTACACATTCTGCGATGACAAACTCACACACACTCACGACATGTCATGTCAGTCTCCTGTACATATAGCTAATATCACGAATATTGATGTGTGTCAAGAGACAATGGAAAACACGCGTATATTAATTCATCGTGTGTAATGCGCGCTACGATGCGGCTGTCGTGTGTCGCCTGCGTACACAATTACGTCCGCATATTTTTCTTATTGAGCCTCGCTGTTAATGTATAAGATGCAATGTACGCAACATCGAGCATATTACCTATATTATATGTACGCACCTCGCAACGAATTACGTAAAAAAAAAACGGAAATTTCGAAATCAGCAAAAATTAATCTTCATTTGTGTTAACTCGTGGCGGCGGTGGTCATCGCGGTCAAACTCGGTAAATTTCAATTTGGAGTTGCGAGAAAAAAGCTTCAACTTGATTTTAGACGAGCTGCTTCATTATATTCTACAAGGAGTGATTGTTGATTTTGTTGCTCGTGAGCCTCGTTTGAAACCTCTTGAGACGATTACCGACCTACAATTTATAACGTAGAGCGCATGCCGCCTGAGCAGCTATATGCCGGCCGTTCGAAATATCTTTACGACCCGCGATAATCCGCCGATTTGCGTGTACAGATAACGCGTAAGTTAGAGGAATTGAATTTCGATAAATTTCGACTTCAACTTTCTTTACTCTCGAGCCTTGGATAAGACAAAAGGGAGAGAAGAGAAAATGATCAGAGTGGCGTCGCGATGTGTGCAGTCGATGTGCACGGCATGGGGGCGATGACATTGCCGCGCGGGTATTAAATGCACGAGACAGCCAAAGAAGCAGCAACGACAACGACGACGACAAAAATTATAAGCTGAAAAAAAAGAGAGTAAAAAGAGCGAAACAAAAATAAAGCCGTGTGTTTATGTGTGTACAACATACAGCGAGGCTCTCGGCTGTCACGTACATGACGGCACATTCTTCGTGCATTTATTATAAATGCAAAGTGACAAGAGAGGAACTCTTTGCGACTGTAAGCGTATGTTGGTGTATATCATACAGTATTTATATACGACGGTCAACGTCGCGTGCAGTTGTGTGTGTGAGAGACAGAGAAAGAAGAGTCCACCTTCGCAATTGCCGCGCATGACCTCGTCTATCTGTCTCTTTTCATCTCTCGCACGCGAATAACCTACCATGGCAGTTGTTGTCTACTGCCAGCAGCCAGCCAGCCGGTGAGCGCACAGTTATAAACGTGTATACCGTGCAGATTATATTATGTAGAGGTGTACTTACATACTGTAAAGGGAAGGAGAAACACACGGCGCCTCCTTCTTCTTCTACTGCTTGAGAACGAAAAAGAGCCGAGCGAGCGACTCCGACTTTACCGGCGCGCTCGAACATCGGAGTCAGTCAGTCAGTCAGTCTGCCTCGCAGCGCTGCTCCGAGAGCTCGTGTGCACGTGTGCGTGTGCGTATGCGCGCGTGTTTTTTTTTCTTTCTTTTTTTTTTCCTTCGTTATTACGCACACGCGAGGCGTTTCGCGCGACCGTATAATACGAGGGATAAGACAATATAATACTCGTACGCGCAGTGATTTTTTATCAAGTGTGTGGTGGTGGCCCCCCCGCTAAAGAATCGGCAGCCACTAGGAAGAGAGAGAGATAGTAGAGAGAGGCTTGAGAAAGATTCTCACACAATCGGTGACACTTTTGTTCGTTACGCCCGCTGCTGTATACAGTGTTTTCGTAACGATCTTCTTCAGTCAAGTGCATCGTTCTGTGTAGTGTATAGTTTTCCGCCCGTGTCTATGTGTGTGTACATAAGTGCAGCGTGAGTGTGTATAAATTGCTGCTTTTAGAAAAAGGCACGAAGAAAAGTTAACGTGTGTTTTTCATTGTGCGCGCGCGTGTGTGTGTATCTGCCACTGCAGCAGCCTTGTCATTATATTGCATTAGCCAAAGTGTGTCTCGTACATAATATAATAACGCACACGCGGCCGAGACGCTGCTGTATACGTGTGCGCACTGTGCTCGACTTTATTCAGCCTATCCTAACGTAATATCCCGAGAGATTATTATCACTCGCCTCAGCTGCTGGGGCAAAATTGCAGTTGCAAGATGATGTGATCACGGCTGCTGCTCGAAACACGAACGACACAGTCGAGCTATATTGATGATGCTGCTGCTGCAGCTAGTAGTATGCAGTAATAACAACAGCTGACCGACATAACTCGTGGATAGTATAAACACAAACGTCGAGTTGGTGTTATACCGCTGCAGCAGAAATCGCGAGTATAGACTGTGCAGAATTCTCTCAAATACATACATACACAACTGCACTCGCTGCAGCAGCAGAGGATAAATACCGATCGTCGTTTTGCGCTTCGTGGTGTTGGTGTGTGTGTGTGCTGCGTTTGTTGCATGCGTATATACATGTCTCGTATATGCATCGCAAACACACGCAGCAGCACGCGACGCAGCGGTCGTCGTTGTTGTTGCTTTCGTAGTCAACGAGTTTGAAAACGATTTTTAAACTCTCGACTCATCGTCGTGATCGGGTGCTAAGTGCGCTGTCGACATCATGGACGACGAAGGTTAGTCCACATACCACAGTAATACAGTGCGACAGTGCGAATTTTTTTTCTATACAAACGAACTTTCGATCAACGGAATTCCTGCCCGCGAACGCGAATTTCCGGGTAATGCGCGTATTATTTTCACCCTAAATAAAAAAAAGAAGAGACGTTTACGCGGATATTTGCGCGCGACGTATTCGACGCACACAGCTGTGTATTGTTGTGCCGTATTGAAAAGTTGATTTTGTCGATTCCTGCGGCACGCGGCCTTTCGCGGAAACTCGACGTTTATATGTGCAGTCGGTGCCGTCGATTCGCGCAAAAGAGCGAGCGAGAAAGATAGAGACCAGCTCGACTCGCTTCTTATGTTTTTTAAAAGCCGATCCGCTTTTTCTTTAGAAAGCGCCAGTAAACGGGCGCGCGCGACCAAAGAGCGCGATGATTATACTTTACCGATATTATATATAAATATTATATCGAAAAACGAGCTCGCCGCAGTTCGTGGATTTATTATTATATTAACGTATTTCTATCTATATATTTATGTATATACGCTTAAGTATAACGTCTATCTCTATCGCTTATATTAGCGCTCTCGAGAGAGAGATATATAGTGGTCGCGATGAAAAAGGAAAAAATAAAGTAAAGAGAATCGTTAATGACTGTCGAAGTTGTCGCGCGAGCGCGAGCTTAAACGATAAACTCGTTTGGAATATTACTTATAAGCTGCTTTTGTGTTCGGTTTCGAAACGAAACCGACGTTATAACACCACACACAACACACAGCGCGAGAGAGCTTGATGACTATTTTTGTAACTACGCGTGTGCTACTGCTGCTGCAGTCCGCTGCTACGAGCTGCATTATAGTCTCGAAGTCGAAGTTGTATAGTATAGCATTATATAGCGCCGACGCACAACACCTCTCTGTCGTCGTGCAAAAAATTATGTTACATAGGTATAGCTTTTTTTTTTTATTACAACGACGAATGATTTAATAGAGTCGCGACTTTTTTGCTCTCACTTTTATGTGAATGGAAAAGAGTCAGTTTATCGACTCCTGCTCCCACGCACGTATAGCTATATACAATGCATCGATTTACTGTGTTTACTTCGTTTCGACTCGACTGTGTGTATAATAATGAATTTCCTTATATTATGCTGCGCGTCATCGTTTGATGCGTTGTTGCTTCGATATAATCGTATAAATACATAGACCGAGTTCATTATACATACATTTTCCAAAAGCATAGAAGATAAGGCCTGCGAGTCCCGGGTCAATTAAGTTTTGACATTTGTTTAGGATCACGCAGCAGAAGCAGCGGCTCTCGAGAGTATTTTGTCTGAATAGAATATCTCGCGGCTCCGGAAGCGATAAAACAGACAACGAATCTCCCCTCCCTCCCCTTGTTTCATTAATCAACGAAACAGCGAATTAACCATAAGTTAGATAAATCAAATTTACGGGTTCATAATTTTAATGGCTGTTTGAAACTTCCCCATTATCGACTTATATATCTGTTGACGTATCTGCATATCTGAAAATTCCCACAATATTCTTACGAGCGATCCAAGTGAAAGCTCCGATATTTATATCGAATAACGATTTTTTTCGAACGAAGGATGACGCTGATCTCTAATCGATGAAATCGTAATTGCTTCTGTCTCAGGTTCTGGAAAGACAACAACAACCACGACAATGATGGACGAACCGCAGACGCCGGGCTCGGACTGCAACTCCAATCCGGCCAACGAGAATCAGGATCACGTCAATTCCGCTTTCATCCAGGACAATACGGACTTTTGGTTCATCGATTACAGGTATGCGATACACTACATATTATACTCAATATCGTTATTCTGCAGTCTTTCCTTCCAGCAATACCGATTCTTTCCTTATTTTTTAATCATCGATCATCGAAAAAAATTTTTTAGTTTTCTCATTTTTTATTTTGTTTATCTTTTCTCCCGCACAAAATCCACCGCACGCACGCACGCGCCACTTTTATTTTCTCTCGCACAACATCGCTTCTGCACAAATCCTCCCGCAGTCATCTCCAAACTGCACTCGACGATCTGCGGACTCGCGCAGCAGCAGTCGCTAATGTATCGCCGTTCATGTTGAAACAAACGCAAAAATCCAAAAACGAACAACAAATCGACGACGACGAAAACAGGGACGGCGGTCTGCACGTCCACCCGAGCGTACTGTCCTCGCTGTCGGCCTCCTACACCAAGGATGATCTCGGCTATTACGACGATCTGGCGCGCAACCTCGACGCGAATCTCGCCGAGGTCGACATGGAGAACTGCAAGACGTCGGATCTGCACACGCTGCTCAACGCCCTGCCGACCATGTGCACGGATCCCGTCCAGCACTCGGAGGTGAGTGTCTTTCTTTGCCGATGATGATCTTAATTTTATCGTTTTTTTTTCATTTTCTTCTTATTCGTTTCTTATTACTACTACTACTTCTTCTTCTTCTTCGTTGTGACGGTCTTCTATATCGATCTGCATTATGTAACTATAATAATACGCGCTGAAAGAAATCGATCCACCGCGTCGCTGAAAAATTCGTTTCCAGCGTCTATCGTCCAGATGCGACGGATAGGATCATTTTTTTTCAGCGCAGCTCTCCGACGTAGCAAAGATTTCGTTTAGAATTTTTTTCTTTCTTTCATCTGTATGATAATTCTGTAGTGGTTATGTACATTCATTACTGTAACGCACCTACACCTATACTATTTTATTTATATTTATATCTAAAAACGAGCTGAAAAATAAGGCAAATTAACCAGTAATCGGCTTTGATACTTTCAAGTTGCTATATTACGCAACGACCGATTGATTTCTCAAATTTCGTTATGCAAGCGTAAAATCGATAATATTTTTGAGTAATAATAATAATCGTAATGAACGTAAAAAGGTAATATGTATTGCTACTTGTACTAACACCTCTTTTCATCACCGAACCGGAAAACTCTCATCTTGTGTACTATACTCGGTCCTGTTATTCAACTTTTCTTAATATACTGCTATGTTCGCACACGATACAACAACAAAAACTACAAAAAAAATAAAAAAATAAAAAAAATTAAAGAAGCCAAAGTGAACGAATTAACGAAAAAGGCATCTGTTGTGTCCCCGTTTTCTCCGACAGTTTAACTATCAGCGGGAAGAATTCGCCACTTTAACTGGCTCCGTGATGGAAGAGATCGGCTTCAAATTACACGATGCTAACAGTCAGGTAGGACATATCCCGCTAAAAAAAAGAGTTGTGCATAAATAAATACAATACTTATTTTGTGCAACGCAAAAATGTTTATAATTTTTTTCATTATTTTCATTTTTTTCGTCTTTCATTTTACTTCTTACTTCTTCTTCTTTATCTTCCTCTTCGCTCACCTACATATTATACAACTATTTTTGTTTTATCTATTCACGGGAGTGCGATATCTATGCAAGGAGAGAGAAAGAAAGAAAGATAAAAAAAAATGCGCAACGAGCACAGCAGCACGAAATTGCGAACAAAGAGAGATGGACGGAGGTGGAAATAAAAATGTATGCGTGAGCCGTTGTCGAAGCCCGTTACACGAGACACGTCACGATAATACGTGACTCTTGAGAATCGCTGCGTTGCTCGTTACCCATTTTTCCATGCACACACACACGAACACACAGAGACACACATGAATATGCATTATATACGCAGCGTTGAGTTACACGTTACAGACTTTTTCTCCTCTTCTTTCGCGCGCACTCCTCTCCTCTTCTCTATAATTGCTTAGTAACAATACTGCGCTCTGTTTTTTCATCTTTTTGATACAGAGTTTTTGAGCGGAAAATGTCGTTTAACACTCGATTTATGCTTTTATTGACGATGGTGCTTACAGAGTATAAAGCTTTATAACGCATAACACGCACAGCTTTGCATATGGTACGATGCAATTTTTGATGCAGATGAGTGGCTATAGGAATACACTACTCACACGCACACTAAAATCCACATCCTCGCGCGGATAAGAATCTCGCGCGCGAATATCATTATAGACAGATGTAGAACACGCGAAAAGCGGCTCTTCTCGCCGACGAGGAGAGATCGTTAGAATAAAATACGAAATAACGCAAAAAATTAAAAATAAAACGAAGAAAAGCTCGTAGAGAGCGAATTATCATCGATGCAAATTAGAAAGTAATTTTTACGACACGTGTGCCCACACATATTTTTGCCGAGATATACACTTACATACATGCGGGGCATTAATATTTCCCGTTGCGGCGCGGCCGCTCTCGAGTTGCGCAGTGCCGAGAGAGAGATAGTCCAGCAATAGTTTATACATATGTATATAGACGCACACACCGGGAGAAATAGAGAGAGAGAAAGAGGAAGCTATAATTACACATATGTGCGCGTACTCTCGCACGCGTCTTACATACTGCACACCGTGCAGCAGGATCGTTTCTGCGCCGAGTATACGTTTCGAATTATTCATATACACAAGATGCTGCGAAACCTACATTCCGATACGATGCAGTTCGAGAAATTTTTTTTCTATCTCAAGAGGCGTTGAAATAATGAATTTGGGTACGATACGCGTCTCGACGTATATACTCGCGGGGCTCGATAATACTTATCAATGTACGCGCGCGCGCGCGACACACATGTTTACATATTATCGCACGCCAACAAATTTCACATTAATTACGCATACACAAGTATCGCTTTCCATACCGATGTGTTATTATTGTTTAAATTAAATTGCGTGTCTGTGTGTGTGGCTTATTACATTGGGCGTTGGTATATCACAACACGCACTTGACAATTATGTGTGATAGTAACAGTTGTATCTCGAACATAAGCTATATTTGACGTTTAGCTTGTACATAATATATAACCGCGTATACACATTCTCCTTGATAATATCAATACAATTGTTAATTTATTATCGATTTTTCCGCTTGATTGGCAAATCAATAAAATAAAAAAAAAACGTTCGATTTGATTATTTTTTTCTATACACATCGCTTGGTGGATCGTATCGTCACAATTGTTGCTCGAATTGTGTCCGTTTACTCAATTATAGATAAGGAACAAGCAATTTTTACTTTGTTGCACTCAAAGTATACTGTGGTGATAATGTGGTCGAAAACGAATTCAAATGTCGCAAAAATACGTGTAAATATCGAAGTTATACTGTGTTATTGTTCAATATTAATTATGTATCTTGTCCGCACGTCCGGAAGAAGGCATGGCTTCATAATAATAATAATAATAATAATAATAATAATAATAATAATAATAATAATAATAATAATGATACATGTGCACTTACACATACATATTTATGCGTGTATGTACGCTGTGCTTGTCGCGCGCTAAGAAAAATCTGTATACCGAGAGTGAGGAAAAACTCACCTTGCGAAAAATGTCGCGAGGAATGTCGCAAAATCGCTCGACCAAAGCAAAATTGTTTTATCGGTTCGTTCTTTTCTCTTTTTTTTTTGTCAACCATTTCGCAAGGTCAGTAATACGTGTTTTGCCCTACGTATGCAGACGCACACGCGCGTGCGGAGGTCGTAAAGATTTTTCTCAGCTCGCATCTCGTACACAACGCACATTACACGCAAAAAAAAGGATGTTTCGAGTTTCCAAAAAAAAAAATATTCACGAGCGAGAATTTTGTGTTTTTTTCTGTCACGCGATCGATGTATAGGGCGAAGACTCGGCCTGCTCGACGACGTCGATCTGCAAGTCGTCGCTGCTGTTCTCGCCCGTCAAGGAGATACCGGTGCTGCCGACCGGCGCCAGCTACAGCGTCGACTCGCTCGACTGCGAGGACATGCTCATCACCTGCAAGACCAACAACAAGGACAACTACACGATCGCCTTCGAGGGCAGCATGGCCATGTACTCCGACAGCTCGGACAATCAGGACTTCGATAATCACGGTTCGTACTTTTTTACTTATTATTATTGTTATATTTGTTTGTGTCATACCGCGTATACAATAATGTAATCGAACGATAAAGAGTCTTGCGAGTCGGTGCGCCGAGAGAGCGTCGATGAACTCGAGTAAAAATGAAAGTTTGCGCTGTGCTCCATGCTGTGTATATATAGGCGCATTATAGTCGCTGATTTATACCGTGTGCGCAGGAATCGCGTATGGTGTGCGTGTGTGCAGTCTCTGTGGCACAAGTTGGCTGTGGTGCATGCTCTATCGCGCGCGCGAACGCGCAACACCGAACACTTTCCCCGTTACAGCGATCGATGTGCTGTGCTGCCTCTCCTTGTCTCGTTGCGGGGAAAGCAAGCGAATCATATTTTTTTTTAAGAATTATTCTTTTTTTTTTCTTCATTCGATAGTAAATTTCTATATACATTATCCTTCAACGTTGATTAAATATTGACTCATAAACAGGCGACGGCCAGAAACGCATGATCGGCGGACCCTACGAGGCCCCCGACTCGTATTACGGCCAGGCGCTCAATCTCAAGAACATGCTGGACCTGTCGATGGCCTGCTCCGACACCAAGATCTACACGACCTGGAGCAATCTCTACAAGCACATCAACGCCAAGACCATGAAGCGCCATCCGTCCGGCAACAACAACACCGAGCCGAACTTTTTGCTGCAGCAGAGCACCGGTGCCGCCGGTGCTGGCGGCGGTGCTGCTGGTGGCTGCGACGCCACCGATGCCGCCTCGAGAGCCGTCATAGCCGCTGCCAACGACGCCTTCAACAGCAAGAGCCGCAGCCGAAGTCTGCCCGATCTGAAGAGGTCGGCAGCGTCGAAGAACGCCTTGAACTTTTCGGTGAGTCGCGCGCGCGCATTGATTTCCGATTTTGTCTGTATATATACTAGAACGGTGTTTTATACGTATGTTATCTCGTCGTCGTAATCAGGTCGATTCCGGTGAGACGAGCAGCCGCAACAGCAGCAACAATCGCCTGCAGAGCTCGGCCTCGATGATGAGCCGCTCGATCACGGCCAACGACCACGAGGACAACGACGACAAGAGCTCCGACAACAGCGTGTGCGGCGCCAACACCCTGTCCTCCGGCAGCAACAGCAACAGCAACAGCAGCAGCTCCACCACGGGCACGGGAAGCAAGAAGCTGCACAACATGAGCCTCGTGCGCCTGTACATGAAGCAGAAGAGCACCAGCGCCGAGGGCATGAGTCTGACCCTCGACTCGGAGAGCGAGGGCTGCTGGCCCACCACGAGCAACAGCGGCGAGAGCGCCAATAATGGTGCCACCTCGGTGCAACCCAAACAGCAGCAGCAACAGAACAACAGTGGCAGCAACGATCTCGCGATCAAGTGGGTGAAAAACGACAGTTTGGCTACGACAACGGCCACGACCACCACTACCGAGGCAACGAGCCAGGCTTACAAAAAGATGTCGACGATCGCTTGCTCGACGTCGATGGACGATCTGACGTCGAGATCGATCCTGTCCCTGGCCAAGGACGACGCCGGCAACAGCTGCTCGGACAAGTCGAAACTACTGTCGGACGACGCGTCCAACTGCACGACTCTGAAGATATCCACGGGCATTCAGGCCAAGACCGTGGAAACCGAGGACAACGGCGTGCAGACCTCGCTGATCTATCCTCCTCTCGGTGAGCAGCAACAGCAGCAAACGAGCCCCGACAGCGGCAAGGCCAGCAGCAGCAACAGCAACAACACCATCAGCACGAGCTCGCTCAAGCAGCAGACCACGACTCGCGAGCACATCGTCAACACGGAGAAGCCCGTGTACGTGGTCTATCCGAACTACGCGCTGCCCGATCTGTCCTTCCTGAGCGCCGTCTCGGCCGATCGGATCTCCCTGAAGCCGCAGGCGTTCAGGCCCGGCAGCCGTGTCGGGCGCAGGCCCTTCTCCTGCGGCGACTTCGACGCGCTCAAGCATCGCAACTTCAATCACGTCAAGGACTGGGACTCGCTGAATTTCCTGCTGCCCAAGGAGTACCGACAGGCGCTCGGTCAGTGCACGGGTGGTCCCGAAACCGTGGTCGCCGCGGCGAGCAGCAAGCAGCCGCTCTACTGGCTTCAGCCGCGCTCCAAGAAACGAGCCATGTTCTTCAACGACGCCGTCGCTGCCGCTGCTGCTCATCATCATCATCAACAGCAACAACAGAACGCGACGAATCTGTCGTCGAGCAGCAGTACGGGCACGCAGCCGTCGTCCGGCTACAGAGGCTCGTCGACCATACTCAGCGACTCGTCGGCCAATCAGAATCAGAACTCGGCCAACTCGGCGACGGGCAACAATCCCCTGTATCTCTATCGCTACGACAGCGTCTCGTCCGAGGCGTCGCTGCTCGGCCAAGAGAAACAACAGATCAACCGGCAGCAGCAGATGCAGACTCGTGGCGCGCCGACGCTACCCAAGCGATCGGTTTCCTTGCCCCAGAACGAGTGTCCACCTCGACCGCCTCTACCTCGTGGCATTTTGCGCAAGCACCACCGTGCCGCAGCAGCTGCAGCGGCTGCCGCGGCCAACAACAACAACGCCGCCGCCGCCGCTAACGTGGCTGGAAAGCGCAGCAGCATGTTCGAGCAGGGCGGCAATTACGCGATGGAGCCCAACTGCGAGAGCAATAAGCGCATGTCCCTGCAGGAGCCCTACTTCATGAACAATGACTTGCATTTCCTGAAAAATGCCGGAGTCCTCGAGTCCGAGAAGGATATCGACGAAGCCGAGGAAAAACAGCAGTTCGGTGAGTTCAATATCCGCCTGTGCTCTCTTATAGTCCCGGTATACTAGCAGCAGTATAAGTTTTACTATCTCGAGTCGGCGGAAATATTATCGATTTTATACATGATGACTGCTAGATTGATTTGCAAGTCTAATGCCATTCGGAACAAAGCTTTTGACTCGGGGAATTTAATTCAGTCCGCAGCGGTCTATGGCGTTATTGTACCGAACTTTTCCATTTATCAATGTCTGATTGAGTATTCAAGACAGTTAAAAAAAAACTAGTCCATCAATAAACTTTTTATTCTTACATTCGCGTACAGTGACCCCTTTTTTTTCTCTTTGTTACCCAAAAAAACGAGTAATGCGTTATCTTTGAAATTCGTTCTTTATTCGCAGATCGATTGCGAGGTTTCGACAACGAAGAACCTCTCAGCCTCGATGACGAGTTCAAGCAACTGGACGACTTTCTCAATCGTAGCAATTACTCGACTTGCAGCGACGATTCCAGTTGCGACCTCGACAAGAGCATGAAGCTGCGTTCGTGCGTCAAGAAATTCCTCGCTCTCAAAATCAATCAAGACATACCGAAAATGATCGACATGACGGACTCGCAAAAGAAGACCGTGAGCTTTGCCGTTAACAGGAAGCAGGGATTGCTGATGCAAGACATGATCGCCAAGGATCGCTTGAACGTGAGCGAGGCGACCGATCAGAAGATGGATAACAGGCCTATAAACTTGGAGGAGAAAAAGAGTAAGTGTATGCAGTTCAAAAAAAATGAATAAATAAAAATTGACTAACGTTCTTATTTTTGTTTTAGAATTGATAAAATCAGTGGGCAAAGCTGTCGACGTGCTGCTGAAGTACTGGAACAGCGAGCCGGTGCGCAGTCGCCAGGACTACAACGACAAGAACGAGTGCTCGCAGCTCTGCTTGAATTATCTCTGCCCGGCCATCTACGCCGTGATGTCGGACGAGCTGAAGCCCCATCTCGACTCAACGTTCGGCCCCATCGCCAATAGCGTCTGGCAAGTCGTGGAGGCCTCGTCGCAGCAGGGACCGCTCACAAAGACGCTCAACGACCTAGTGCAGAAAATCAATGCCGAGGATTTCATTCCCGAGGGAATGCTAAAATTCCGCGCTTTTGTTTTTGGTCTATTGAAGTGAGTAGTGTCTCTTTTGTCTTCAAAATGTCTTTGAGTTATTGTAATGTAAAACATCGTGTATTTATTGCTTTTTTCAGTTTGCGATCCCTGGACGCCTGGTTCGCTTATCTGTGCTCGCGTGAATCCGTCGTGCGCAAGCATTACAAATCTTCCAATCTGTTCGTCAGCGCGCTGAGCTGTCCGGCGAGTCGCGAGGTCGTCGACTCGCTGCTCAACGTGCTTCAGCCTCTGATCTACTGTCCCTTCCAGCTGGACCTGCTCTATCAGTATCGTCAGCTTCACAATAGCTTCGGAGTGCCGAGCTCCGAGCAAGTGATCAAAAGATCCGTGAGGCCGCGATCGTGCGTCATGTACGACGAGGACAACAAGAAGGACGAGGCCGAAGCCAAGAAACGTTGGAGCCATAATCCGATGAGTGCCATGTTTCACGTTCAGGATCGGCTCGACGATTCGGACGATTATACCGATAGTCTGGAACACACACCAATGAAAAAAGCTAGTCTCAACAACAAAATGACTTCCAAGGTGGCATTGCGCAAAGAGGAGGCGGCCGCGGCGATGAAGAGCGCCGAGGCCAAGGGCGAGACGCACTTCCGCAAGCTGCAAGAGAAATGGGAATGTCTCGGTCGCGATGATTCTAGTCCGAAAGAAGCCTACCCACTGCAATCCCCCTCCTCCCTCGCTTCCCCGACCACTCCCACTCGCACCCTGTCCTTCAACAAATCCAAAATCCCGCGTCCTCTCATGTCCCCGGTCAAATCCCCGTCCGGTCTCCCGGTCCCCGTCAAAAATCCAAGGGCTTCGGCAATACCCGCTCCTAAAAAATCCGCAGCATCGAGCACGACGGTGGGACAGAAAAAATCCCCAACGCAGCCGCAGGAGTCGCCAAGGCGAACGAGTCGAGTCGATCAGACCGGCGCGTCTAGCCAGCGCTCGCCCATGACAAGACCGAGTTCGCTGCCCTACAAGACCTATCAGGGCCAGCAGGACAGAAACGGCGTCGTGCACAGGCGAGCCGCCTCGACGTCGTTGCCCAGGCCTCATTCCATTGCCGCACCACCCAGCAGACATATCAGTAGCAAACAACCTGCACCAAAGTACGTACACACATACCTATACGATTTTTTTCTGTAAGAAAAATGTCATTATTACTATCATTTTTTTTTTTACTTTCAGACTCGTGCGTGCGACTTCAAGCAGACCACCGTCGCAGAGTGGCCACTTAGCATTCACGGAGGGTGAAACGATCAAGGTGATCCTGGAAGTGGACGCCAAATGGCTACTATGCGAACGGGGCACGCGCAAGGGTCTTGTGCCGCGCAACTGCGTGAAGCCGCTACCCACTTAGCGTGGAGCCTCGGGTATACCGCTACCGATCGCAGCCAGGAGGCGTGCAACTTTGTGTACATAGATAAGTTTAAGAAGAGAAGTTGTTATAAGTCGTAAAAAAGAAAAATAATAATAATGATAATGCTAGAGTACAGACTCGCGTTCGTACTTCGGAGTTATAAGGCGTGTGAGAGTGGTCCAATGCTATGCGTTGACGCTATTATAATAAGCTAGAATGCTGGAGTAAATGATTCTTTGATTAAAAAAGAAAAAAAAAAGAGTAAGATAGCTTTTGAGAGAAGGAAAGAGTAAGATAAATTACAAATGTATCGATGCTTCGTTTACATGTATTTGTGAAAAAAAAGTCACCAGCTATTAATTAATCTTAAGATTCAGATGTTATTATTATGATTATTATTGCTGAAACTATACATTGATTATGGTATTAAACAAAGATTAATGAAGATAAATCACGGCTAAACGTACGATTTTAGACGCTAGTCATATACCTTTAAATGCTTTCGAATAAACCAGAATGTATTTAATTATTATTGCTGACCATATATAAAAATATATATTTAACAAAAAAAAAGCTAAAACCATTATGGTATTCCCATAAGAAATGTACATAAACAAAATTGAAATGTATGAATGCAATGACAAATATAGAGATTAACGATCATTTTTTGAAGATTTAGCGATGATTGTCAGGTTATAAAACTTATATAATACAAAAATTATATATGAATATGTATAAATGTAACTGTGATGATAGTTTATAGACGAGTAAATTATCGGTGAAAATCTTGTGAGCTGGATAAATACGTAAACATTATCCCACGGCAAAATAAAAATAACGTGTACATCGCTATAACTTGATTTTTTTCTCAACGAAGGAAGAAACCAAGGCAGTTTTAAGATTTTTTTTTTTAATTTTTACGAAATAATTTATCGCGAATCGATAACTTATTTTTCCGCTTGTATCGTATAATACAGCAGCATTATTTTTTTGTTACGCTATATTTTATCATTTGCGGCGCACAAAGCGCGTGTGTATTATCATTACTGTCGAAAGCTGATGATCAAAAACAAAAGCGAAATAAAAAAAAAAATAAAAAGAAAACCCTCCGCTCTTTTGTATGTGTACTTTTAATTTCGACGAAGTTTTTAATTACGACGGTTTGTAGCTATTAGCGCCTACGAAAAAATACAAATCATTATTTCGGTAAAAACTTTTTAATTAATAAGTAAGTAAAATAATAAAAGAGCAGCAGCAGCAGGCATAGCGTCGCAGCAGGATACTGTCCTCGAAATGTAACGGCGCATTGTGTTTTTTACTAGCTTTATGTATTCCTCGGGATGTGGCAAAATTATAAAATGAGTATTAAGCTAATAAAAATTCATCTTAAACAATCAAATGTTCTACTTTTGTTATTATTTATCAACAAAAAATTCACATTAATAGTATCAAATTATACATTTTTTGCATATTAAGAACGAATGAGGTAAGGTTGAAAATGAAGAGACACATCAGCTTTTCTTTATACATAAATTCATTCACGTGTTTGTATAATTTACGTACAAAATTGGGGGATCTCGTTATCGGTCGTTTCTGTTTCTCCCACTGCAAAAACGTACACAGCTTTTTTATATATTAAATATTCATTATATAAAGGTTTATTATAATAATGACTATTGAATTGGTTCTCTGCACTGGGTGCGTAATAAAAAATACGCAAATAAACGCTTGCGGGTCTCCATTTGGAAGTCGTGTCCATTGGCGGAAAAAGTCGTTTCTCACCCTGTAATACATGGCTTACGAAAAAACGCGTTTTGAATTTCATTTTTAATATTAAAAGCAAAAATATTGTGCGATGCTTTTCTATTCATTTTTTTTGTCCTCGCAATTAAATGAAAAGTCTACATTTTTCGGATAGTATTGGCAGGCGCGCTCTGTGCAAGTCAAGTAGAGAAACGTCATTTCGCTTCAATAACACCACTCCAAATGGAACAAGCACACGATATTTTTTTATGTATATAATGCTCGTGTATATACGGACGATTAAAATTAGGATGATTTTTTCGTTTTTTTCCTTCTGACTTCGGTTTTTCACTGGTAATGCAGTACGAGTGTCGTTGGAATCGCATAGTTCACGATTACATATTATTTACAATTGTCAGTCTTTATGCGACCTCAAAGATGTATGGACATTGAAAGATAATCATCCATCGAGTCTTCTACAATTTTCTTTCGCCCGTGTCGATGATTCATTTATCAAAAGATTTTTCCCTGTCTTTTTTTCTTTAATTATATTATTATTAATCGATACGTTACATACCGCGTGTATATATAATATATTCAGATTATATAATTCGTACGTACACAGATATTAGATTTGTTTCTTGTTGTTGTTGTTTTTTTTTTTGTTCATTTCATAAAAAATAACTATATGACCTTGTAAATATGTTTATATATAAAACAAATATATCGAATAGTATAAATATATGATTATCAATTTTATATAATATAAATCTAGATTGTAACAAGAACAAGTATTGCGATGCGTCGTAGTATACACAAATCACATTCATAACTTAATAATCAATGTACAAACGTATACGGACACTCCCCTGGGTAAGGGGGTAGAGAATTAAATTTTCAACAAATCGATTTTGCCCCCTCTCTCTACTTTTTTAGCGCCGTCCGAAAAAATTATCCGTCGAGTCGATCATTTTTCTTTATTGATGTCGATGTGACATAAAAACCGATTTAAAGCCTGCCGATCGATTAATTAGTAATGTGTGGAAACTCACTGTCAGACTCTCTGTTTTATTATACATTTTCGATGATGAATTATAAAAACGATAATCAATAAATGATTAAATTATTTTTTTTTTTAAATAGGAAAAATTGTACTTTTTTAGCAATTAGCATCACAGACAAGTTTACATCATTCGATATAACGTTTTTTTACGTAAAGTTGATTAACTTTTAATCGAGTCCATTCGTTCGTTGAATTCTTTCTTTTATTTTTCAATAGAGAGCGCAGAGAGTATTCCACACACATTGATTTATCGATGCGACCTTTTTTTTCGTTGAACCGAATGAAGCAATTAATAACTAGCCGAATTACGCATTCACGCGATTACGAAAAAAAAAAATTAATGTTACAAAATATAGTAAATATATTATAGACGCAATTTTATGTATTAAAAGCTATTTACAACGTAACTTTATTTTTTTACAAGTTTCACCGATCGAACCCTATCACCGTGATCAAAATTTGTTATGATATTTACAGATAAACTTGCTCCTCTCGCGCTCGATCAAACGTACGATATATATAATATAATGTATATAAATCTACACACATTTATGTAAAGCTACGATGTGATTTCGATTATTTTCTTAGCTAAAATTCGTACACTGCTGATAAGTTAACAGATTTTTTTGTCCTCGCAGTGAATGATTACAATATAAATTAACTTTGAAAAAACGATGATAGACACAATTATTATTTACCTACATGCAGTACATGCCCATATTTTTTCGTTAAGAAATTACACGGCGTTAACATTTTTTATATGAAACATTAAACAATGATTAATGAACCAATTGAGAGCAATAAATTCGATATCGTTCAAAGTGAATCGTACTTTGCGGAAGATCGGTATGAGTCAGTCTTGTATTGACTCGTACTGCAAATCTTTCAGAAAATCAATGTTATAATGGCACGATATGTATGGATTATCTAAACATGATGTTAATTTTTTTTTCTCTCCTTCTCTGTGCTATGTGGCATTGGTGCTCAAAGATATCTGCGATTCGATTATTTACATAAAAACTACCGTTTACAGTCTATCGTTTTTTTCTATATAAATTAGACTAACATGCTCGGTTAAAGGTACACCCAGTCAATGATAAATCGCCATTTACACTCGTGATATTTTCGTCTCTCTGCTTATTTTATAATTATGTTTTACTTTTCATTTTTGGCACCGTCGAAAGCCAACAATTCGTTATATTGTAAAGAGCGCGGATTTAGGCAAACATTAATCAATCAGTCGAATGAATATCAGATGTTCGCTCCGATCTGCTTGGTTGCATATATATTATATACTTTTTTTGTGACCAGACAAAATTAATTGTTTAACGGGGCAAAAGGTGTGTAGACAGAATTGAGGAGTTTGCACGTAATGTATATATGCTTTGGAAGACTAACAAAAAAATCAGACACCAGTTCACTCGTTTCCCCGATTGGAGTTACGTCATAAAAAATAGGGCGGAAATTGCTCTTTTGTACACATCGTCTGCATCTCTGACAATCACTTCTTGTTCATTTTTCATTAACCCACTATCGTCAAATATTTTTTTTATTTCTCTCTACTACGTCGACAACCACTCATAAATCTCGCGTTGTAAAATTTTACATAATCTAACATTTATGCGGTTTTTACGTATATTTGGAATTGGCTATCATAAACCTTTTAGTTACATTAGAAACGTGAAAAATAATCTGCTTTGACCATCATTTTGAAGAAGACCGTCGGTTTGGGATATAAGAGTGTCTACCAGGTACATCGTAACAAGAATTCATACTCGCAACTTTAGACTGTACTGTCTTTTGTCGTGGTTATCTCGAAGAAGTTCCAGCTGCAGTTGCTCGACGCGAATCTATTTTTTTTTAGAAGGATATGAATTTTCATCGTTATTCTTTGAACTTAATGTTTTGTTTGTACTTTAGCTTTTGTTTAGATCGAAACTTTTCAAAAACCGATACTCCTTTCAAGCAACTGCAATTAAAATATCTTCGATGGCGGGTGGCTACAAGCAATTATCGAGCGAGAAAGACATCGTTAACAATGAGAAACGAAGTGTTTTCTAGACACTCGTATGCTCGAAAAGATTGAAAATGAAAAAAAAAAGAAAACAAAATATTTTCTATACCTATACGTATATATTTACATATTTATTTCTTGGTCTTGCTAATGTACCTTATTTTAACATAAATGTACAATTATTTTTTATAACGTCATAGTTCAACTTCAATAAGATATTTACAAAGTTTTGAGATGTTATGTACGCTTCTCATAAATCCATACGATTTTTTATAACGACATATCAATATATTTTATGCGGCTCAGAGCATACAAGTGCCACTGCAATGTAATAAATTGAATAGTATAAAACAGGAAACTCGTCATCCAGTCCAGTATTTAGTCAATTCAAATAGAAAAACAATCGTTTAAAAGGATGTCAAAAATTAAAGAACTATCACTGATACAAGATGGCTCAATAAATACTAACATATTATATATAATACAATACATTAATATATTATTACTTATTTGGCAGAGAAATGTCATTGCTCGGCAATAATTCAATAAATTCAAAAATTCTATTGACACATAGATGAAAAACTCATTTCTAACTCATTTTTTAATTAAATCAATTAATTTGATTAATTAATTTAATTAATATTAACTCGATAAATGAACATCATCTGACTTAATCTGACCAGTTTTAGGTTGGATAACTTATATACCCAAAATCACAAACTACAAAAACTTTTTTTACAAATAAAACTCATCAACCCCTATGATTTCTAGGCATCATTGGGGATGATTATTCAATGATACGTGTACGCCAACATTAACCCTATGTACATAATCTCGTTGCAAAATTACGTAAGACAAAACAAAATTTCTAAACTTATTCGTCATGGGTACATTAAAACGATAATAATACAAGCATTGTATTTAAAAGCCATCGTTTCCCATTGACGGTTATTTTTACAATTACCTATTTATAAATGTTAATGATATTTTTTTCTGATTAATTTAACATAGTGTAAGTTGAAGATTCGAGTATTAAACTACAATCATTGCTGGAGGCGTAAAGTGTGTTTACAACAAACAAATACGTTGACTCGCTTATATCAAGATATATCTCGCGAGAAAACCGCATCACATTGTGATTCAGAACAAACTTGGACCGTTATTATAAAACACACATATCAGTTTCACAGCAAATACATTGTAATTTTGATAACACTGTTCATCGCTCATAAAACTTCCAATGTCATTAAACAGAAACGTTTTAGAGTTTTTTCATATCACTGATCACATTTAATTCTTGTGCGACAGCTTGTAGATCGTAGAGGGCATGCTTCAACGACGAGTAATGGCAAGAACTTCTTTACGAAGTAATTGCAAAGTCATCGCTGAAGCCCGGATCTAGCTACATACTCGATTCCTTCGTTATGAGGGACTCGTTCTCTACGCGAATGAGGGTCGATATGTTGATCACCATACTGCGACTCAGCGATGCAACTCGCTCCATCACACATGACGCAGAAAGACGCGCTTCTGCGTCGTGATCCCAGCACTCCTCCATCGTATCACAAATAGATAGAAGACCCTATAAGAATGGAGTAAAACCGTTAGTTTAAAAAATTATGTAATTTTTTGAAAAAGCAGATATAAAAAATTCTTACCGGATGTTTGCGCCACGTATCTAAAATAAGTGGCCTTTCTTTTTTATGGACTACGCTCTCTTGCATGTCCTCTAATGTAGGATGAAGTCCTACTTCTTCTTCAAAAGGTAATCTGTATTCTCCTATTGGGCCCTGTAAATTAACCATGTGTGTAAATGGAAGAATTCGTATTCATCAGTCTGATTAAAAAAAAAAATAATAAAAACAATAACTTACGTCTTGTACAGTACAGCGGGAAGCCAATTCCCATAAAACAAGTCCACATGCATACATATCAATACGCAAAAATGAGTCTCTTGTAAAATTTATAGCTCCTTCTAGTACTTCGGGAGCCATGTAACGACGAGTTCCTACTTGACCGTGGGTATCGCCGCACGGTTTGTTCGGATGAAAGATAAGCGCCAAACCAAAGTCAGCTATGCAAGCACTCATGTCGCTTTTCAGCAAAACATTTTTCGATTTAAAATCTCGGTGAGCTACAGCGGGTTTGTAACCGTCGGCTTTGTTAGGCGGAATTTCTTCGTGAAGGTGCATTAGGCCTCTGAAAATTTTAAAGGAACAATTGATTGACTTGTCAAATACACAAAAATCAGATAAATAAAATGTATACAAAAACACATTAATATATATTACCTTGCCATGGATTCAGCAATTTTACACATTTCAGCCCAAGAAACAACGTTGGCTTTCAAATAATCACACAAAGAGCCTTTTTCATGATACGCAGTGATTAACCAAAATTCAGCTTGTAAATTATCGCCACGTTTTTCAACGCCGATAAACTGCAGAATATCTTCGTGATCCATGTGAGCCAGTTTGAATATTTCTTGTTCCGACTGCCAAGATTGCTTATCTTGGATAGGAAAAACTTTGACAGCAACGACTGTGGAACGAAGTTGCGCTTTCCAGACAGCACCGAAACGTCCGCGCGCTTTAATTTCCAATAATTGAATAGGTCGATTGCCCAAATTAGGTGACGGTTGAGGCATTGGACCGGGCTCCATAGTTGGCAACTGTAGGTAAAATATTAATTTTAGTTTTATTTCAAATAAGATAAATATTTACAATTTCAATCGAATTTTAAAGTACCTCGTTGAAATATCCTTGCTTCTTTCGTTTGCAATAAAACAAAACTGATCCAAGAATTACTACCAAACAAACAGCTGAGATTGATATTACAAGAGTTACAAGTTGTTGGTCATAATTTGGAACTGGTTCTGGTTCTGTAAAGAAAAATAGTAAGTTAAAATTACTTTTTTCCATACACTTATTAATAATACTAAGAATGTTAAGCAGCCTATGTTACCTTGAACAACACGAGGAGGTACTGTTGGCTGTGGATCCCAAGAAAAGTCTCTATTACACATGTCACCTTCACAGCAACAAAAGAAAAGCTGTTTCTTCCGATCAGCGCTCTTTTCAACACAACGTTCTTTGTCATAACATTCTTTGCTATCCAAAAAGCAGCCCTGAAATAGAACAAAGAAAAATTTTATTGATGCCTCAAAATAAAAAAGAAGATATCAAACAGCTTATAGCTGAAAAATTCACCTTCAATTTTATGGTGGAATTTTGAGTAACTCTGTCGTATTGCCACAATACATAACAGTGATTACGTTTTCCAGGCTCTTGAGGCGTACACCTTTCGATATCAGAGCAACCATCCTTATATTCTCCATTGCACATGGTTTCATTGAAAAACTCACATGTTTCTGACCCTTTGACATCGTGCTCAATAGGATATCCATGAATATCGTGGGCAAACGAAGAGCCTGGGGAAAAAATCATTTTCATTACAATAAACCCATTGAATTTGCAGCAAGGAAATGATTGATCAATTCATACACAATGTAAATGCCTAATTACAAAAAGATATTTTTCAAATTGACTGCATATTGCATCTATCATTATGCAAACAAAATCTACAAATATACACACAATCTTTATCAGCTTATCAAGGTTTTTGGAGTAGATGAATCAATTAAAATTTTAAATGCATAAAAACATTTGATTTTTTTTTTTTCAATCTAAAATTAAATATAGATTTATGAATAAGAGTACAATGCTCGTTATAGCATTTCACAAAATTTTATTATGATGAATGGCTATATGGAATACTTTTTATAAACTCAAGAGTATGAATTATCTTGACATTCGTAAAGATTCAAGATAAGAAAACTGCAAAACTTGAATCATAACTTGAGTGTTTTAAAAGGACCTAAACTGCATTACATGTTTCAATTTCATTCATCTCATTCATGCAAAGGATCAAGAATGCAAGCAGAAAATAACTTACCAATGAGCCCGAGGACCAGGCTGGTCAGTATTATCATGATTGCGCTCTCGGAGGCACTCATGATGATAATTCAATGACGGCGACGAGGATGATGCCCAACTGCAGCGGGATTACTCTCTCGCTCACTCACTCACTGCACTCTCTTTGTATCTCTCCTCCGTCCAGGCGGCTCTCTCTCTCTGTATATATATTATTAACGTCGCGCAACAACAGCAACGATCGGAAAGAACTGCATCGCATTTAACGAGCCGAGAGAAATTATATAGAAAGAGTACGACGACGACGACGACGACTAACGTCGAGCTCGTATGACGGATGGCTTACTAGGATTAATAGCAGGCGACAGTCGCTCTCTCGCCTATATAAATGCGCTACTCGGCTGCATTTACAGACGTATAAGCAGCAGCGGCAGCAGCAGTAGCAGTTTGCACGATCAATCTCCGGTGCATTGCTTTGCGCGCCTATGATGCATAACCACGCAGCAGCATATATTGGCCACTAAAGGGAAAATTGCGAGGCCGTGTGCGGAGTAGCAGCACACACACTTACTTCTCTATATAATAAAACACAGCAGCTCCGAAGCGCGCGAGCGAGAGCAATTGGCCGCAGTATGTGTATATTATATATAGGCTATATATCTGTACACTACAGGCGCACACACACATACACACTAGAGGCCAATGATATTCGGTATCCTTCCGGCAGTCGATACGACGACGTCGATACCGTATAAACAACAATTGCTAATTCCTCGTCTCTTGGCACGAGCTACGACTGCAGCCTCCATGCCTCGATACTCTCGCCACTCTTTTCTCGCTGTTCTTAGCGCGTGCGAGCCTGGAGTCCACTAGGATATATTTTTTATATATATTCAATGATTCTTCCTTTCTCACTTCTCACTTTTGTATATTTTTGTTCTGTCACCTTGCCTATATACACAGAGACAGGCGCACGCACGAGATTTCGGAGCAGCACTGCTTGCACTTTTATAGACGATCGCACATGATGCACGGCAAACGGAGCGCACACGCACGCCGAACTGTATCAAAGTCGCGTTGTAAATATATATATAACAGCAGTCGTCGCGCACACGAACGCACGATATATAACTGTATTTTATGTATACACAAAAGTGTGTGCGTGTGTCTATAAGCGGAGTCTGCCCAGCAGCGAGGCGAAGAACTCCGTGTTGTTGCTGCCCTCGTGCGCTAGACACAAAAGGAGGATATTCTCGTGTGCCTCCTCGCTCTCTGTGCACTCTGTGTTGTACTCGTCGTCGGCGTCGCAGACGAAGTTATGCAGTTATATATGTCCCGCGACGACCAAGATCTCGCACGCACGCACACAACGCGACTACGACGACACAATGGGTGTTTGGCGCGAGCCAAAAGAGCTGCAGAACGAAAATAAGTCACGCTATAACTCGCGGCGGCGGCGACGACGACGGTCGACTGCATACGAGCAACCGACAGTAATGTTAAATGTAATGCCTGCACTCGTACACACACGGTATACACAGAAGCAGCAACAGTGCGAGCATAAGAAGGAGAGAGAGAACAGGCAGCAGCTTCCACTAACTCCGAAACGGCGCCTCCAAAGATCCGATCTCTCTTTTTTTGTAAATATATCTGTCTGTCTGTCTCGTCTCGTCTGTCTCTCTCTCTCGGGGGGCACTGCCTGCCTGCCTGCTCGCTCGCTCGCTGGCGCACCGCGAGAACGAAGATATACGTGTGGCGTGTGTATTAATATAGTTAATGCACGGATTGCTGTCTGTCTGCCTGACTTTGATATAGTATATATATTTCGGTCTATCCGCGTCAGAGAGCCGCGCGCGAGAGGTTTTTTGCACGGCACAAACAACAGTCGCTCGCTCGCTCGCTCGCTCACCGCGTATGTAGAGTGTGGAATATTATAGAGGTGCTGCTGCTATATGTGAAAAAAACAACACTCTCGGCACTCCGCGAATCTCGCACTGCACTGCATTCGGCACTGCACTGCTTATGCACGGAGCAAGCGAGAAAAACGTCAACAAAAATATTGTATACGAAGTTCGAGCGAGGGGAGGCCCTTAGAAGAGTGGCCCACGGTTAAGTTAGAGTACAACAGTACTGCGTGCACTGTGCAGCACCTCGCGCTTCATATACACACTAATGAGGAATCGCGAGGATCGCGCATACATGTATACACCTACACACGTATACACGCTTATATATGCTGCTCTGCGAGTCTCGGGGACACCAAGAGTCCAACCAAACACTCCGCAAACACAAAAACACATAAAAGCGAGAATATGTATGACACAGGCGCGCACGCATACATAGGATATGGATGACACACACAGAGATTGTGCGAACGACGCGAGCGACGCGTTGCCGACAACGCGAGAACCAAACCCGCGCGATTCTTCTTGTGTGCTGCTGCTGTGCAGATTATACATGTATGAGCAGTAGCAGCGCGAGGAGGGAGAGCTGAGAGCGGAGGAACGTGATCCATATATCAACATGGCGCTACTGCCCCCTCCATATTCCGCGCTCGAGTTCATATATCCATTATCATTATTGTTATTATCGTTTGTTGTTGCATGTATCGACACATGCGTTTACATACGAGGTTGTGCAGTATATATATGAGTAAATAAAAATCGTACCAGAGGGAGAGACGGGAGGAAAATCGCGATTATAATCCGAGATTCTTTTTCCGGTCTTCCCTCTCTTCCTTCCTTCTTTTTTTTTTCGTCATTTTGTTGCACGATGCGATAATGTTGTTATCATTGTCGTGACCTCTCTCTCTCGTTCGCGATGTATTTGATGCATAATAAGTCATTCGGGTTCGTTTCGCGGGGGGGTCCCTCGTGTACCACGCGGGTTTTCGAATGCACTCGAGGCTGCATTATTCGGCAACCTAAATAATAGTAGTATTATTTTATTTATGAGCTTCAATTATTTATTTTGATCGCTATATGCGTACCCCAATTGACAGAGATCATTTTCTACTTTATCCACTCTACCCGTCTGTCAAAAACTGCTGCAGCTTTCGGAGAGCTTTATACGGCGCCGGACTTGGCCGCGCTATATTCGACGCCGAAGGCGCTGCTGTCCTCTCGTCGCACATGTGTCTGCATTTCAGTTTGGAGCTAATGTATAGCAGCCAACACTGCACGTGCTCCTGTGTTTACGTTATACTTGAAAGTACAAATTTTCAATTGGAACATCGACAATCCGATCATGAATCCGATGGAACAGCGAAACGGAAATCCAGTCCTCCAAAAGGTCGCGTTCGTTCGAGGGGACGGCCGATCGCCGAGTGAAATCCGACACATAAGCGCCCGGCTCGGTGTCTTCGGCCAAGCCGATGGCAGTGCATATTTGCAACAGGGTTTGACCAAAGTGTTGGCCACTGTTTACGGTCCGCATCAGGTTCGACTACAAACACTTTCACATTTTCAATGTTTTCATCGATCGCAGAGTCAGTTTTTTGACACAACAAACACACGATGGTGTATTTTTTTCAATATTTTTTAGCCTCGCGGAAAGTCAGCCGGTAATATGTTGAAAGCGGTGAAGGGTATTGTCAACTGTCAATACAGCACAGCAGTGTTCAGTTTTGGAGCTGGAGTGAGAAAGAAGAGACCTCGCGGTGACAGAAAGTCCCAGGAGCGGGAACAGCAGCTTCGTCATGCCATGGAAGCAATAATCAATTTGGAACTCTTTGCCAAGTCTCAAATAGATATCTTCATTGAAGTTTTACAAGTTGATGGAAGTGAATTTTGTGTTGCAGTTAATGCTGCTACTCTTGCATTGATAGATGCAGGCATTCCCATCAAAGTAAGCATACTTTTGTCATGTGTACCTATGGTTTTATAAAAATTTTTACTAAAATTTATGCGTTACTTTCTTAGGATTATGCTATCGCATGTTCAATCACTGTGGCAGATGATGTAACTGAAAAAGATGAAGAAGGTGCTCAAGATGGTGGTAGTCTCATTGATGCCAATTGGGTAGAGGAATGCTCTCCAGGCTTTACTCTATCAATAGTTTCTCTGCCTAAAGTTGTTGATGAAACACAAACTCAAAGCTCATTGATTTTGGCTCATGGAGCAGGTCGAAGGTTACATTTGTCTCGACTAGAAGCCTTGAGACAACGTGCACTTGATGCTTGCAAAGATATAAGAGATATACTAGATGCAGTAGTGAGGAATCATTTGCATACACACGCTGCGATACAATCTGTGGAAAAATAAGCATGTTTTGTGATATATTGATAATGATAATTGTAATATATTGCATAGTTTGTAATTAATAACTAACTCATTTTTTTTAATATTCATAAACAAGTGTCATTAAAGACTTTTATTTCTATATTTACAGTTATAATTGGTTCAATTTTCATAAAAATATCCGCAATCCAGTCAAATTTGCTTAAAGTCATTGTTACATTTTTTAATTAATTTAAAAATATTATCAACATGGTAGTTAGATGACAAAATTACTACAGCAATCATAGTAATAATTATTACAGATCCTAAATTAAAATAATGGATTACAGAAACTCAATGAAAATTTATCAGAAAACTATTAACTCTAGTTTTTTTCATGCAAGCTTTATCTTAAACATTACTTCAACACTTGCAACTAAATGAAATAATTTTATGCAAAGGTGCTTATGTACATTGGATCACTCTTAATTACTTTTGATGATCAAAAAATCGTATTTGAATGATTTTTTTTTTTAACGCCGTAAATCTAATCGTCCATTTGAACACGAAAAATCGTAACGCATAAAACCATTCTTTCGTTTAATACAATATATTTTAAATGTTACCTACTAAATGAGTTTCTCGACATTTTTCAATGTCAATAAAAACATTGAAATACAATTGAAATAATATGTAAAATTGACATATTTGTTATAACAGTCTCGATGCAAAACTATCATCTTTCAATTTACGCGATACTAAATTTTTTCATAGTTTTTTCTCGAAACTCCATGCAATTTCGCATAAAAAGTGAAATATTATACACTTTGATATAATAAAAAAAAAACAATGTTAAGAACCTAGGGTACATTAAATGCCATACTCATTAACAGTACTGCACTTAACCGATGGCAGCAATTGTAATAAAAGTCGTTTTCACAAAATCCAAAGCCTATGCTTTACTACAAGGTTGAATCGAATAATTAAGTGGCGGTGGTGGCACAAGCAAAGGTAAAGGCGTGGGTGGGGCTGGTCTCGGAGTTGTTGGAGTATCGTCGATTGGCTGCTGCGGCGTCGAAGGAGGCGGCTGTGTTGCAGCTGCGCCGTACGCAGATAAGTAAGCTGGCCATAGATGCGGTGGTGGCGGTGAACCTGGCGGAGGAGGAGGCGGCGAGCGGTCATCCAAGTCGTCCGAATCATCTTCCAACACGGGTGCTGATTTTACTGGCTTCACCTTAATCACCTTGACCTGTCGATAAAGTACCAATGTAAAGACTTTCGCGCAATTTAAAAAAAATTAAAAGAGCAGTTTGACACTCACCTTGACTTTCTTTTTAATCTTCTGTGGTTTGGCGCGCTTTTGCTTTTTCCGCAATTTTCGTAATCGCAGTTTACTTGGCATGTCTAAGCCCAATTCACTTTGAGCAAGCGCTGAGTTAGGAGGTGGTGGCGATGGCATGTCACCTTCGCCACCGCTGGGACTTGTACCTTCTCCAGGCTTTATTCCATCGGCAAACTGAACCGCCTTTTTCATTCTGATACTTTTAGCACTCTTCGATGTTATGGATGTCTCTGCTTCGGTTTCTGGGGCAGGCACCTCCTCGATAACAGGTGCAGATTCCGATGGAGTCAACAGACCATTCGTCATAGAAAGATTACTGTAAAATATAAATCAAATAAATTAAAACATGATTCATAAACTTGAAATTATTATTTAAACAAATAAAAAAATTCTTACCCAAACCCAGGTAAAATTAGAATTCCTTTTGCTGGAGGTGGTAATATTTTTATGGACGTATCGTCCGTTTTAGGTAACGAGCCTTCTTCGACATTGTCAGCATCATTTTCAGCTGCCAGAGCAGAAACCACAGAATTGTCTTTATCACCCTCGTCGACTTCCACCTGAGGTCGTTGCGCTTCCTCCTCTTCTTCCTCGTCAAACTCTTCTTCGTCTTCGGCATCGACTGCTTGAGTCGAGATCGAAGCAACTGTTTCCTCGTTTTCTTGCAACTTTCCTTCATCTTCCATTTCTTCATTATCCAAAAGGCACGGAAGGACCTTGCTCTTACCGAGAATTTTTTCAGCTCTTCTCTTTGCTCTCTCGAAGCGTCGCCGTTCTTTTTCCTTATGACGGAGTTCTCGCTGACGTTTACGCTCTTCTTTTTCAGCACGACGCGCTTCCAAGATGGCATCGTAATTGTAAACGGGTAGAGGCAAAGGTTCTGTAAAGTAATTAAATTAACGCATTTAGTTGAGACGAAAAATCATCGAATTAGACAAATGAGTCGTAAACAAACCTGGAGGAGGAGCTTTGGGCGCTGGGGAAGCTTTCGGCACTGCCGCTGGTGCCACCATGGGCGGTGGTACATTAGGAATGACAACAACTGGAGGTGGAGGCACATTAACTGGTGGAGGCTTAGTCAAAACGGTCTGCGGTGGTAACGGTGAACTCATGACACTTGCCGGTGACATGGGCGGTGGGACAGATGGACTGTAGCGTACGACGGGCGATGGTTGAGGCGATCGCTGCGACCAATCCATGCCCGTTGAAGGTACAACTTGCAAAACGTTACCGATTCTGACGATAGAGGTGGGCGTTGGTGGAGGTTCCGGAGGACGTACTGGAAACTCGCTGGGAACGACTTGAAGCACGTTACCGACCTATTAAAAGAAGAAACAAGCCTCGTGAGATCATGCTTTAATTTGAAAATTGTGTTGCTTCAAAAGAAAAAAGATTGTTCATCTACCTGAACCACTTGAGGGGGTGGATGTCTTGAGGGATAGTGTCCATGGTGTGGAGGAGCCGGTGGTGGAAAGTTTGGTGCATATACTGTTGGTGATCCGTAACCGGCTGGAGCACTCGTATCCATGCCCAAGGACTTTTTGATTCCCAATTCCAGTTCAAGCCTATGATACAATATCGATTTATTAGTAAATGTGTTTTTCAAAATTATAAAACGAGTAATAGCATTAGGGGCTCTCGTACCTATCGTCGAGCGACAGACGCTTCGGCGACTCAGGTGGCTCGTCAGCAATCCTTGGATAAGTAAGATTTCTACTAGTTTGGTAGTATTGATCATACGAACCCTCGGCTTGAGTTTCAGCGTACCTGTAAGATCTGGGATCTCCCGCGACCGGAGCGTCGGTGGGACGAGGAATAGGTTGCTGGGGTACGGGTAAGGGTCTGGTGGTATCAGGCACGCCGGTCAACTGAATTATTGTATCAAGGCGGCGAGCTGGTCTGGCGCCCTCGACGACGTGCGCCGCAGGAACTCCTTCGATACGACTGTAACTATCCTCGAGACGAGATCGATCGTTCATACCGTAACTGTGTCGTGGCGAGTAGGATCTGTTTACAGAAATATCCAAAAATTAAAAAAATCGAATTACAAACATATTAGTAAATAATTGTTTGATCCTTACCTGGATCTTGTTCTTGACCTGGTTCTAGAACGAGATCTCGACCTAGACCTGGATCTAGATCTGCTTCTCGATCTAGTCCTGGATCTGGTTCTAGACCGTCTGAGTTTATCCAAACGATCATGGTTCCTGTATCTCGTTCTTGAATTTGACCTACTTCTACTTCTGGAACGTGTTCTGGAACGACTTCGAGACCTCGATCTAGTCCATGATCTGGATCGTGAACGAGAACGATACTTCGGCCTCGACGGTAGCGGCGATCTTCTGGATAATCGAGGCGGAGGCGACTTTCTCAAAGGAGATTTTCGTTTTTCTCGTCGGGGCGGCAGTGGACTCGGCGAGCGACTGTCCCTCCTTCTACGATTCCGTCTCATCTTGTAATCCCGATCCACGCTCGTCTCTCGAGATCGATTTTTATTTTCATAACCGTAATCTTTTTGGTAACTGCTAGACGGTGGTGGTTTTGGGTCGTCCAATCTTGTTGACCTTCGCCTCTCGTGATCAAAGTTCTTTTCACGTAAAATTTCCATAGGATCGTAAGGCTTGCCGCTTTTGACTGGGTCTTTTTCATGATTGTCTGATTTTCTTCGACTGCTGGATTCACTTTTGCTATAACTTTTCTTTGAATCATCTGAATAATAAAATGAACAGAGATTAGTTACAATATTTCATAATTTTACAGAATATTTTATAAAAGTCTAATTATCTTACCTCTATGTTTTGCTGGGCTTGGATCTCTTTTATCGCGCTTACTTCTCGATTTATCACTCTTTCTTTTAGGACTCTTACTCAGGCTTCTGCTCTTCCTTGCACTCGCACTGCGACTGTCACCTTCTTTGAAATCCCACGTACGTGATTTCGAGCTTTTCTGATCTTTCTTTTCTCGGGTATCTTCACTTTCTTTACGACTCTCGTAATCCTTTTTAATCGGACTTTTCGCTCTTGGAGAAAGTTTTTTAGCACTACAATCATCTTTTAATTTTTTTTCAAGTTTGATTGGTTCGAGAGATTCTGACTTAGGAAGAATCACTTGCTGAGGAACGAATTTTAGAATATCTTTCTTTTCGTCCTTCTTTTCTTCTTCCGGTTTGGTACGAGGTTCTTCAGCTTCATGTAGTCTATCCATCGATTTTTCCTGCAACAATTTACTTTCATATTTGATTTTCTCAATGTCGAGGAAAACATCTCTGTAAGAGGAATCAACCGTTGTTTCCAGTTTCGATTCTATCTCAGCCAATACTGGTATGCCAAATTCTGAAGCTTCTTCGATAGCGGTTGGTTTGCTTTCCCAATCTGTGGGAGGTAGCGGTTGAAGAGGAATGTCAACGAACCGTCTTTTTGATGATGACGAATCTCTCGATTTTGTACTTCCCGCATCATTGAGTAGTTCTTTTGTACTTTTCTAAAATTTAAGAAAAAAATTGGTTCAACATCATAACTGTATTTGATTATAAATAAAGTTAAATTTAAATTTAAATAACTTAAAAAAAACTTACGATTTCAGAAATTTCCGGAGCTTCTAAATCTAGCTCATCTTTAACAGCGAACACATTTGCATTTATAGCCCTCTCTAACTCGGCAAGTTCTTCCATTTTTTGTCTTAAAGTTTCCGCAGACTCGATGTCGTCGACTGTCGGGCTGCTTTCTCGCGGCGACTCTTTTTTAAAATGAGGAGTTATTGTTTCTAATAAAGAATTCGTAAAAATGGCGCTATTATCACAAGTTTTTGGCGTAACAATGGGGATCGGTGCTGGTAAGGGAGCAGGTAAAAGTTCCGTGCTTGATGGCCATATGTTACCTTCGTCTTCCCAATTAATGACTACTGTTTGATCTTCTTCCGGCTGCTTGACTAAATTCCAATCTGCTGGTGGCGGCGGCACTGGTTGAGGAACTTCGATCGGTACACTCACGTTGAGTTTGGCATCTACTATAGAAAAGTAATATTTATTAATAATAAGCTTACTGAAAGTCACTCGTCTTTATGAGAAATTTAAATAATATAGAACTTACTTCCAATCGTACTGAGGGTTTCTTCCGCCATTTTCTCAATTTCTTCGAAAGTTTTTTCTGTTATTTCCTTTGAAGAACTTTGTTTTGCCTTTAGTAACATTTCCTCCCTATCTGCATTTTCCTGTTCATCCTCCCAGATTCTTAACGTACTGCTTCTCTTTTCTTTTTTCTTCTTGCTTTCTTTAACGGGAGTTACTTCAACTGGAATATACATTTCACTCGCATGATCATACTTCAATTCCTCAATTTTAGTCTTCTTTACTTGCTTTTTAGCCGATTCTCGTTTAGCCAGAGTTTCCGAAGCTTCGAGGCTATCCACATCCCACTCGTTAGCAAATATTTCATCATTGTTCGGGCGTTGAAACTCATATTGTTTCAAGGATAAAACGTTCAGAGAGTGGAAATCAGTATTAACCCAATTTTCACCCGTTGCTTTACTTAAGGCAAAATGCTTGGCCATTTTTTCATCGGCTTTAGAGTCTCTAGAATCCCAGTCAGCTTCAAAAGTTTTCCGAGATTCATCCTTTACTTCTTCCTTCTGAACCTCTGATTCATTTGGATCAACTTTATCTTTACTACTGCTATCTTTTATTTCTTCTGGGGATTTAGATGCTTTTCGTTCTTCTGGCACATTTTTGCTTTTAGTTTCTTGTGAATTATTTGATTCTTCGGAAACTTCTCTAATTTTCGGTTCTTCAATTTGTTCTTCTACCGAATGATTATTCGTACTCGTTTTATCCCAATCAGAATTAGAATCTTCTTCGTTGGCCGATGAATTTTTTAGATGTTTAGTGCTCTTTTCGCTACTTGACATGTCATCTTTCTTAGAACTTTTGCCAGATTTTTTCTTCGATTCATCATTCGATTTCAGCGATTTGTGTTTTTTACTTTCAACTTTTTTACTCTTGTCACTTCGAACTTCTTTGCTCTCCTTTTCGGCCTTCTTTTTCTTCTTCTTATCTTTAAGTTTGCGAGAGCGTTTTTTCTTCGGAGCTTTTGTATCGGAATCGCTCGAATCACTGGAATCGCTGCTGCTGTGCTTGCGCTTACGCTTGCGTTTCTGACGTTTGCTCAACTTCTTCATCTTCTTCTTCTTCTTCTTCTTCTTTTTATCGGACTTGCGACGTCTCTTCTTTCTAACTTCTTCCGAACTCGAGCTAGAATCATCGCTACTACTCTCACTGCTTTCGGACTCGCTAGTTGATTGTTTTTTGCCACGTTTGCGACGACGCTTTCTGCGTTTTACTTTTGCGTCTTCGGAATCCGAGCTTGATTCGCTCGATTCACTGCTCACGCTCAACTTGCGTTTCCTTTTAATTTTTTTGGACTTGCGTTTTGACGTTGATTTTTCGTCTTCTTCTTCATCGTCACTGCTTCTTTCAACTTTAATTTTCATCCTTTCCCAATCACTAGGGACTGAGTGAGAATTATCACTACCGTCATCTTGATTGCCATTATCATTTTTATTTTTATGGTTGATTTCCACTTCATTTGACTTAATTAAGTGATCAGTTTCGGAATCATTTTCTAAATTATCTGATTTTTGGTGAAGCTGAAAATAATAAATTATAATTATTAAGATATTTATAAAAGTAAGTCAGTTTTCAATATTAATTGATCCAATTATGTTTTTGCCAAAATTTCAAAAAAACATACCACGGGCGATTTTTCGAGACGAATTGGTGTTTCTTCATTTTCGTCCATATGTTTCAATTTATCAGTCTTCTTTGACTTTTCTTTAGTTTCAATTGATATCAGTTTTTCGTTTTTATCCAAACTTTTATCCCTCTTCTTTTTATGTTTTTTCGATGATTTTTCATCTATACTGGCTTCGTCATGTTTGTGTTTCTTTTCCTTATCTGTTTTTAGTTCAGATTTTTCTTTTTTTTTCTCACTAACGGTATCAACGATGGATTGAGAAATAATATTAGGATTCATTGGAGAACCTACTGATTCTTTCGAGACTTTTGCTTCTAAACTAAATTCATAGAAGCTAGCAGGAGAACCTTTACCTTTTTCACCATTAACAGTTAACATTTTCATAAACTGTTCATATTCTGAAACAAGCTTGTTATCCTGTCCATCAATAGCAGGTGAATTGAGTTTGTTTGTGTCCAATGGCTGGATTATTTCTCCACTCTCATGTTCTGTATGCAAAGGAGACACTAACATTTCCTCGACTTCTGGAGATGGTGATCTCGATTTTGAGTCTCTTTCCTTTTGCGGAGAAGGTTCCGTTGAATGTTTTTTGTGCTTATTGTGACGATGTCCATGGTGATGTTTATCTTCGCGACTATGATGTTTTTCGCGTTTAACTTTATGGTCTTTATGCTTTTTGTGTGGAGATTTATCTTTTTTCTTCAACGTTGGTGAATTAGACTTCTTGGATTTAGACTTTTTGGATTTTTTGGTAACACGTTCCTCTGATTCTATAAGTAGTAAAATTCGTGATGAAAATTAAAGCCTATTAAATTATTGAATATATCAATATGTAAAATAAATTGTATATCTAAATCACCTCTTTCATTTTCTTCTATTGATTCTTTTACTTTTAGTTCTTTTTCTTCTTCAATTTCCATTTTTTCGGATTCAAATGCTTCTGATGGTAACTTTGTTTCAACAGCAGCAGGCTTGATTAAAGATTTGTGTTCTGATTGAGCCGTAACTTCTTTAGTAGAAGGATTAGCTTCGAACACGTTATCGTCAACCGCTTCTTCGTCATTTGATTCATTCTCGCTATCCCACTTGGAACGAGGAAATGATGGCACATCGATCGAAGTACGAGTACTGATAGATTTGGATGGATCCATGGTTTTGTACCATAATCGCTCATGGTGTCCTTCCTCTCTTTCAGATGTTATAATCCTACAAAAATGACGATGGTGTAATAGAAAATTTACGTCATAAAAACCGCAATTATCATGATTTATCGATAGATTATTCAAGTAAATTTGCAGTAATATAAAAATGGCAATTACCTAATTTGAGTAGCTTCACAAATGTCTTCCATTTTTTCTCGTCTAGGTGGAGACACGACCTTAAGAATAAATTGACGATCGAGAAAACTTGGTTTCTCTGAATATAAAACAGGTGGTTTAGTTTTAGTTAATTTTATTGATTCAGGCGGAAATTCCTTTTGACCATTTGAACTTTCAGCAAGAAATGGGTATCGGTACTGTCGATTATCAGATATCATTAACATTTGCTCCAAACACTCATTATAATCTTCAACAGTTCTGTAAATAAAAGTTTAGTTGTTAAAATTATTCTATTAGGTCACCAAAAATTGCAAAAGATTCGGTACTAACCTGAGTTTATTCATATTATCTCCATAGTCAGAGCGCCTAATATATCCAACGTCATCGATTAAGAAACCATATTTTCTGAAATCGTCCCAATTTCTACATCTCAACAGTTCTCTTTCTCGAATGTCTCTTATTTTATCCTTCTCTCGTTCTCTATCTCGATGAATTTTGTTTCGCGGTTCTTCTCTTTTTTCTTTAATATCAATTCTATCTAATTTTCGATCTCTGGATACCGATCGTTTACTGAAATCGTCGTCAACTTTGTTTTTCATATCCTCTCGATCTTCGTCATACTTTGACTCGGATTTAGACTCTTCTCGTCGACTTGATTCAGGCTTGATATCTTCTTTTTTATTTTTCTCGAGTTTGGTTTCTTCTTTTCTAGAAGAACTAATTTTTGGGTCTTTTTTCGATGTATCCAATTTAAGTTCCTTTGCTGTTTCATCATCGGAATTTTTATTTTGTTCTGTTCTATTTATTTTGTTAATTTTTTCAATATGTTGTTTTTCATCGTCATTTTTTTCTTGTTTGCTAATTTTATGATCTTCTTTTTGGATTTCTTCATCATCTGTTTTATTTACTTCAGCCTTTTCAGGTTCTTGGTGGAGATGTTCCTTATTTTCTTCTATTTTTTCTGTTTTGTTACTTTTCAAAACTTCTGGTTTGCAAATATCTTTTTCAAAAGATTCATCATACAATGAAATTTCGGCAGATTTACTTTTATCTAATTCTTCACTACTTTTACTAACATCGTGCTTTTGATCATCTGCCTTTTTGCGGTAATCTTTTGAATCTTTTGACTTTGACTCAGAACGTCTTTTTTCTGATGATTTAGAATCTGAATTCTTTTGCTTTGGTTCTTCATGCCTAGATCTAGAATGATCTCGTTTGTCACCTCTACTTTTTCTATCTCTTCTGTCTCCTTTATCTCTGTTCCTTTTTTTATAATGATCATCATCAGGTGAAGATCTTCTATTATATCGAGTTCTATCCCTTGATCTACTGCGTGATTTTTTATCACGACTTCTTCGTCTTTCCCTAATAAAAAAAATTTAAGTTAAATTTTTTTTGATTCAATAATCATTTTTTTCATAAATTTTTAAAATGATGACTCAAGCATCATCCATTTTTAACATTAAAAGTATAATATTAGCCCTTTGTTTTCCAGTCATTTAAAATTCTTAAAAGCTGCTAATCAGTAATTTTTCTCAACAACAATATTTATCCCTGTTATTAATATTATAATGTTATTTATAGATAGATATTAAAAATTTATTGAAATGGTCAATGAACTGATGAGTTTTTTAGATTTTATAAAACTTTTAATCTTACCTGTCTCTTTTATGAGCTGAACCCCTTGAAGGTTCATCCATTTTCCTTTCTTCTCTCATTTCTCTTGCTTTTCGTTCTTCCATTATACTTTTTACATTAAGATCTCTTGCTTCTATAAATGACAAAAATTTATTCACAATGATTCATTAAATAAAAAACAAAAAAATAGGTTCAAACTTTACCTTGCGCAGCTTGCCTGCATTTATTCTCCTCCCTAACAATTTCTTCAATTGCCAATACTTTTTCTTGCTCTGTAATTAATCGCAAAACCATTAATAAAATGGATTTTTTATATAATAAGGTTAAATAATAATTTAAAAATTCAACTTGCTTTTAATTCTATCTGGTTTTGGAATTAATTTATTGACTTTAGTGACTTGACCAAATTTATTGGCAAATGCCATTAACCTTTTTTTTGCCTGAATTTTGCCTAGAACAGGTTTTGATACTTTTGGACTTTCTGACTTAAAAGAGTCACTGCCTGTTCCTGTAGTACTGTCGGGTGTTTCTGGAGGCTCTACATCTTCAGGCTTAAAATTTGTTGCTGGTGGCAAAGGAGGGTCCAAAGATTCTGAAGGTGCAGTGTCCATGTTGTAAATACCTACAAATACAAACAATCATTGTTTACTTAGATATACTATTAAATAGCCTACAAAATACTTTTTGGCAAATAATTTAAAATAATACAAAATTATTTAAGCCTTGTGTTCAAAGTATTAATAAATTTACTTGCCAAAACTCTAAAAAACTCAAATTATTTGAAATTAAATTTTATCATAAAAAGTAAGAATTCTCTGTAGTATTCTCCAAAATAAATAAGAACATTAGCAATGTCAAAAAAGACTATTCTACAAATTATTGACATGCATGCACTTTTGATAATTATTCAAATTTCTAAGTTCTAATGCTTTCTATTATTGAAGAAGTATTTTATAATTAATAAGAAACTAAGGATATCAATTAAAGATTATGTTGCAATAAACGAATTGTTAATAATTACGTTCATGTAGTTTTATCTTTTCTTTTCTTTTTGTTTTATCTTTTCTTTATCTATTGTTTTAATGCTCGACTCAATGAATAAAGAAAAATTTCAAAATGCTATCGACTGGAGTAATACAATACGATGTTATTGGATCGAGTGTCCCAAAAGCCGACAGTTAAGAAAAATAATACTTGACTTTTTTTGCTACCACACGATGGATTTTATGCATTTTACTTACTTACTCCCGGCACTGATCACGAATATCTCTCACTCTGTCATCAATCAACAGGAGAAAATAATAATAGGCGATTGCCAAGTCAAAAAACTGCACCGCAGCATCACAAAATTATTATTTTTCTTATTTTCCTATCTCGATTGACTCGGGTATAGGATGCAGACTCATAACCTTGTTTATCCACACACATTCATCCACTTACTTTACTGTGGCAACAGAATAGCAATGCAACCGCGCGCGTTATTGTCAGACATATTGCTTTACCGAGCAAGTGAAAAATTGGCGCCTAAATTCTAATTTTTCATACCTGTTGTGAGTTTTGAATCATTCGGTTGACGAATCTTCTAGTGAGGCGATGACGGAATAACAGCTAAATGAACACATACATTTTCAAAGTCACGCGTGACGCAGTGTCATCGAAAAATTCTTTGGAAAAATGACATTCCTACTGTTGTTGTTCACCATTATTTGAAAAATGAGAACACGAACTAGTAAGTTTAAACGTTCTTATACATTTTTTATTTACATTAGATTTACAATTTTCATTTTTGAATTACATTTCTACAAATGAATAAATAAAATTCTAAAAACTTTTTTTGTAAAAAAAAAGCGACAGTTATTATTAACAATTTACTTAAGAAGATTGCAAAGTCAGTCAAAAAAAACTGTATTGATAATTTTATTTTTGCTGACTTTGTCATCTCCAAAAATTTGTGTATAATTACAATAAAATTAATTACAATTCATCAGCTTATTGTTTTGATGACATAAGTAAATCACGGTTCGTCATCACTCTCAATTTCTGAGGGATCTTCTCCAATTGCTTTCCAAAATGCTGTTACCAATTGTTCAGCAGCAACTCTCCTTTGCATGTGTGGTAAAAGTTGTGCATGTTCTTTCATCACTTGTAATTGGCCAAATAGTGCGCCAAAGTCCACTTCATTAGTATCCATTATATTCTCTAAAAAAATATATAATGATAGCAAGTGGACAAGACTAATTTTTTGTGATTATTTATGATATGTTAAGAAATTTATTTACCTAATACATCTTTGAATTCCAATTGATCCACAACTTCTTGAGGACTACTCAAGTCAATGTTTTCCAATTGTTCGCCCACCTCCGCAACTTCTTTTTGTGCATTTTGTGTGTGCTTTTTAGTTTCTGCTGATTTGAAGCTGGCATTTGGCCATACATGAGCTTCTAATACTTCAACTATTCTGTCAATACCATATTTACTGTGATCATCTTCAAAATCCATAACATCAGCTTGTTGTTCCAATTCAATAAGTTCAAACTTCTTTGTTACACACCATTCTACAGCTGTAATAGATTTATTTCAGTGCAGTTGCAGTTAAAATTTAAAATTGTAATTTTCATTGTTTAATCTGAACATACTTTTTTCTCTCACACTACTGTTGGAAATAGAATCACACACTAACAACAATATTTCAGCATCTGTATTAGATATTATTGGCATGACCTGCTCATCAAATTGCTTTAAACAGTTTTCCTGTGAACAAGTTCAAAGTAAGTAATCATAACGATGGAAACATCAAAGAAAAAAATCATTTCTAATCAATATACCGTATTTAAATCACAGTGAAAAATTAGAGCCTCAAACTTAGATGGATCGGATGGTAAATTTTCATTTGTACATAACAACAGTTGAGCACTATAATACTTATTGTCAATATCTAATGAGTACAGGCCGGACTCTGCCATTTGTGATAAATGCTTTGCTCCCATTTCTGCAATAAGAAGTTTACTTTTGTCAAGCATTTTCAATATTTTAATGGGTGTAATAAAGTATGAAAAAATTTTTTGCACACTTGTAACGATTTCCTTGGCTCGTTCGGCATTCGAGCTCGTGATTGAAACACGGGGTAGTTTCGCGATTGACTCCACATTATTACTCATTGTTAAAGAGTGAAGGATGGAAATTTAAAACACAAATGTTTATATGCACTGTATGGACGAGCACTACTTTGACCAATGTGTCAAAGTCAATAAGGTTAGGTTGAGCTTTATGTTCAAATTGGCCTGAACCGATCGTTACAACTGTCACGTTCGTCGTGGACTCATGACGCGACATCATAATATTGATTTGATAGAATCGTAATGAGGTAATGAAGAAATCATTACATTTATGATATGTTAAAAAAAAATAATCAAAATAAACGAATAAATAAAAAGTCACAGTTACAAGTTTGAATTATATTTTATTATTAGATTTTCTTAGAATACTTAAATTATTGTAAGAACAAACATATTTATTAAAAAAGAAAGCCTTTATTTAAGCTCCGCACAGAAGTTAGTGGAGACTTTGCAGTCTGAAATTTATTTGTAAAATTCGTGCTCGGATTCGTCCTTCTTGATGTTGTTTTTGTAGCCTTTTTCAAAGTCTTTATTAAGAACGATGTATCGATTTTCCCTCACAGCATGCATACCTGCTTCTTGACAAATCGCATTAATGTCGGCACCAGATATTCTGTCGGGTCGTGCAACGTAATCTTCTAAATCTACTTCTTCGCTAAGATTCATTTTGCTGGTAATGGTAGAGAAAATTAATCGTTTTTGACGGCGATCAGGCAGTGGGAACTCAATTTTACGATCCAATCTGCCAGGACGTAAAAGAGCAGGGTCAAGAGTGTCAGCCCTAAAATGGAACAATAGTATGTTATTTATCAAATTCATTTTTTTGTACTCTCAATTGTATACATTCAAGCTTGTCCTACCTATTTGTTGCCATAATAACTTTAACATTAGTTGTTTGATCAAAACCATCCATTTGATTGAGTAATTCCAGTAAAATACGTTGCACTTCCCGATCAGCTCCTGTCTGAGCATCAAAACGCTTCGTAGCAATAGCATCGATTTCATCTACAAAGATGATTGCTGGAGAGTTTTCTTTGGCTAGACGAAAGACATCTCGTACCATACGGGGTCCTTCACCCAAATACTTCTGCACAAACTCAGAACCCACAACTCTGATAAAAGCAGCTATGAAAAAAAAAAAATTACTATTACCTCTGATTTATTCTATAATTAATTAATAGGAAAAGATTCTACCTGTAGTATGTCTGGCAACTGCTTTTGCCAACATGGTTTTTCCACATCCGGGTGGGCCATACATCAAGACACCTCTTGGTGGGTCAATACCAATTTGTTTATAGAGTTCAAAGTGTGTGAGAGGCAATTCTACAGCTTCTCTAATTTCTTGCTTTTGCATGTCCATACCTCCAATGTCACTATACAGTATATCAGGCTTCTCATCTTTAAAATAATTCAGTAAACCAAATGTTATCTATTGTTTTACCATAATATAAAAAAAGCTAGAATTGAGTTGAAAAATTACCGGCTTGAAGCATAGAAATGCTGGAATCTGCTTCTGGTGGTAAAACATCGACCAAAGCATTGCTGTGTTTGTGGAGAGCCACACTAGCAGAAGGTTTCAGCAATTCTCTGTCAATAGTTGACAAAATCCTTACGTAATAGTTTGATCCTGTGGTTGAACCAACAATACCAGTATTTTGATCTACGGCTTCTAAGAATTGACCAATAACTAAAGGAACACTTTGTATCCGTTTCACTTCTTCTTGAGCATGAAGATATTCCTTCTTGAGATTTCGTTGCTCATCTTTGATATACTCTTCTTGAACTTCAAGAAATTCAAGCTGGCGTTGTAATTTCTGCAAACAAATCCAAATGATTGTATGAGTTCAGAACAAAACATAACTCACTCTCCATCTCAGTTTATAACTATTTTATATGTAAAAATAAAAAAGTTGACAAGTAATTGATTAATAATTTACCTTGTATTTAGTATAAAGGTCTTCCATTTCTGTGTCCTCACTAACTCCCGTTGGATGGCCAATTGCTGCCTTGGGATCAATGTCACTGATGTCCTGTAAACACAATAAATTTTAATCAAAAGAGATTCCATATCGCGCAATAATTCTAACGAATCATTTAGCCTCGAAAAATACGTAAACATAACGAGTGCCCGTGGCAATCGAAACGAGCACCAAGGACAAAGGGGTTGGCAATTATTTTGTAAAAATTTTCAAAACACCCATGCTAACCCAATTGATTACAAAGATCTGTCTGATGGTTGGTTGGCGCACGGACGATTAACGCATCGTCGAGATTTATTTATAAATAAAACGTCTAGCAGTACGAGTTTACCTTTTCAGGTAGCGAGACATTCATTTCCTCCATGTTTATGGTGCGACTGTCAAAAAAAACAAAAAAAGTCTCGGTGAAAAACTGTTGAAGAGTCGCGATGAATGACTTGGTATTTTGAGTATTTTCTTTGAGGCTGTGCCTCTGTCTCTGTAGGTTATCGACAGTCGACTCGACTCCGCTAAATTTACGGTATTTAACGCCACAGTGTAGGCTCGCTTTACAACGGAAGGCCCTGTGACGGCTGTGACGCGCCGCATTCGCTCAAATCTGCAAGTCTCAACACGTTCTTGTAGTGGCCAGTACAGAAAGTGTTGCCCACCATAGTGCAAAAACATTGCCGCTAATACAGTCATCTGAATCGCGCGGTTTTTCACAGTTTAGTCGTTATTTAGTGAAGAATTGTAAAAATTCAAGTTACTTGTGTAAGGTTTGTGATCAAATCTTACGCTAATATTAGAGCTGGCATAATTGTCAAATTCTGTATCTAGTCTAGTCTGGAAAAAATCAGTTTTAGAACTGTCATAACCTAAGAACTGTCGGCCCCGGAGGTCTCATAGTATTTGTTTATCAAAGAAAAAAAACGAATATCAATTTCATTATGACGACCGAGGATTTGAATGTCGAAAAAGAATCACCTTCCGAAAATGTGCAAAAACCTCAGGATCGAACACTGGAAGATCAGTCGATGCAGACTGAAGAAAATGGAACTGAGGAGGTGACAAAAACCAGAAAGAAACCTAGGCGTAGGACGAAGGCCTTTAAATTAAATATACTAAAACAAATGGAATTTTACTTTAGTGATTCCAATTTGAGTAAAGATAGATACTTGGCAGAACTCATCAAACAATCTCCTGGTAAGCACTCCCATAGGAAAATGATTATTCAATTTTGTACTGTAACTTAATGCGTCTTTTGAAATTGTAGATGTTGACATCAACGAATTTTTGAAATTCAACAAAATCAAAGCTCTAACAACAGAACCTGCAAAAATTGCTTCTGCTCTTAAAAAATCGGAGATTCTCAAAGTATCTGAAGACGGCACTAAGGTTCGCAGAATTACTCCAATTAATGAAAGAAATAACGTTGACGATTGCACCATTTATGTTCAAAAATTGCCACCAGAAGCTGATCATGATTGGGTTGTAAAGGCTTTCTCAGAGTTTGGTAAAGTGGTTTATGTATCTATTCCAAAATTCAAACCTAAAAAAAAATTTAGAGAGCAAGATCCAGAATGTATGAAACACCAAAAGATAAAAGGATTTGCTTTTATTGAATTTGAAACACCAGAAGGCGTTGACAAGTGTATAGAGGTAATTTTTTTTTAATAATTTCAATGCATTTCATTAAATTTAGGCTTACATCTTGTTCTTAATCAAAAGTATGATACATTTTAAGAATTATAATAAAAAAATAAACATTTTCAAAGAAGTAGTTCAATAAGAATTATTAAAGTAGACTTTCTATTATTTTCTAAGTGTAGATTAAATAGTTCAATCTAATTCTATAAAATGTTCATCCTATAATAATGATCTATCAAAAAAATATTCATTTAATTAAGTTATTCTCAACACTTATTTGTAATTTATTAATTATTTTATATTAATAATTTTTAGAAATTCAAAGAAAATAATGCTCTTTTACCAACTGAAGTTAGTCATGATAAAGTAACAAGTATTACAACTCATGAAGATTACAACCCAGATAATCAGCAAAGTACTGAACGAGCAGCAGAGTCAGAAACACCTGCAATAAAACAGGAAAAAAATATAATTGCTTCTGCTCTAATTAAATCAACTGAAACGAAAGTTGATGATACTATTGAACAGTCCACAGAAACCAAAGCACCAGAGAAAAAAAAAAGAAAATCAAAAAGTTTATCAGATGTTAACGATTCAACTGAAGTAAAAAATAATGAAAATCATGAAAAAACTTCAGAAAAAAAACTAACAGAAAGAAAAAGAAAATCAACACAAGAAATTGATGAGCCTGCCAAAAAGTTAAAAAGGTCAGAAAGTTGTCCTAAAAATAAAGAGAGTTCCATTACTTCCGATTCCGTTGCAGAAAATGAAGAAAATAAAGTAAAAAAATCAAGAAAAAGATCTTCTTTGGGTGGAGTTCCAACTTCTGAAACTGAAACCCATCAAAAAAAAAAGAAGAAAAATAACGATGACGAAAATGAAGAAAAGGAAGTATTTTCTGAAGAAAACGATGTGGATGTAAAAGAAAAAACATCAAAGAAAAAAAAACAGAAAAATAAAAGAATTCGTGTAGGAAAAGATCAACCTCCTGCGCTTCCCAGCAATGAAGATAAACTACAAGTAATGCGAAAAACTGATTGGAAAAAGTTGCGTAATCAATATTTGACTTTACAACGAGAAAAAATGCGTAAATTGAAACAAGATATAAGGAAATCGGAATTTTATTCAAAGACGTCGAACGATCCAAATTTTTCGTTGGAAACAGAAAAAGGCAATTTTTGTTTGCCCACAAAAGAAACTAAAGTTCCAGATAGACTCAAATTTACACCTGGCGTAATTGTAAAAATGCAACTAAATGAGACTGATGATCCCAAAATATTGAAGGTTTGTTGCAAATGATTTTCATTTACTCAAATATAGTACATTTTTTTAAAATTTACTTATTTTCATATTACAGGATATATATAGAGGTCCAGATAATCCTAACATTAAATATGTAGATGCATCTGAAGATGCCAAAGAAATCTTCTTAAGATTTGATACAGCAGAATCAGCTCAAAGCTTGGCTGAAGCATCTGAGCAAAGAAAATGTACTGTACTGACTGGTAAGTAACTAATTTCTTTTTCATTCTATAAGAATCAGCGATAAAAAAACATTTATAATAAATATAAATTATAAAAAATATTTATGATTTGCAGGTTCAGATGAAAAAGAATATTGGGACAAAATACTACAAGATCGCACCCAGAGATTCAACAAAAAAGACCGACCCAAAATAAGAGGACGTCAAAAACTTTTCAAAAAAGCTGAGAAATTTCGAGAACAGATAGCAAAGCATAAGAAATTTAATGATGAATATTTATTAAATATATCTGAATGAACGTATGAATATTTAACAAATTCCATGTAGAATAATTTATAATTAAATCCAATGATTATCACTGGGCATTTTGAACCACGGAACTAGTATTACACAAATGTATATTAAAGATACATTATATTAGTAAAAATGTGAATGCCATAGATATTGATTAGACCATTAAAGTTGTTTGTAATAAAATAAATAAATCGAGTCTATTTATGATTAAAAAATTGTTACAAATTCATTTATATAATTAAAAATTCCTATATTTAATAGTATAATTTTATTTTTTACAAAACAGCTATGGTAATTATAAACCTAGTCTTATAAATATACACTCTTGTCAACAAGGCACTACCACCTTCCTCGTCCTCGGAAGCCACCACCGCCTCCGCCGCCACCGCCACCGTTTCCACGGCCTCCTCTGAATCCGCCACCGCCGCCGCCACCACGTCCGCCACCTCCGCGGCCGAAACTGTTGTTGAAACCGCCGCCGCCACCTCCACGACCGAAACCACCACCTCGGCCTCCGCCTCCGCGGCCACCGAAGCCACCGCCACCACGGGGTCCGCCACGACCGCCGCCTCCACGTCCTCCTCGGCCGCCTCCGCGTTTTTGTACGCTACCCGCGGGTTTTGGTAAGAACCTTTGTAGTGGCAAAAGCTTTGCTGGGTCGATGTAGAGCTAGAAAATTTTAAAAAATATTTATGAGTCTTTATGTAACATTTTGTTTTATGTGATTAAAGGAGTTACTAAAGTTAAATCAGTAATCAATGCTATCAAAAATTGTTCTTCAAGTCAGTATTTAATCCTTTTTCAAAAACTAAACATTTTATGGCTTGCTTCTAGACAAATGTTCACAAAGTAGTTTAGTAAACTCAAATACTGAGTTTGAAAATTTCTATTATTTATAGATGATAAATTATGAGTCATTTTACCTGTGTGTCTTTTGCAAAACTATCAGCTTTGCAATGATCGCTCAATTTAATAGATACATAGTAGTCCTTAATATTGCCAAAAATTTCATCAATTTTTCCAACTTGCTCTTTATTTTCTAAATAGATTGGAGCATTGAAGTATGGAACATCCTCAATGTCAACTTTGGCAACCAAGTCATTTTCAACTGTCCATGTGAAATGACCCAATGGAGTCACATGTTCTGGAGGTCCTTGATCGTAATTGCTAAAAATTGATAATTTTGTAAGTACTTATTCACTTCTAAGAGATAAAAGAATTATTTGATAAAAAGTGACTTACTTGCTTCTGCGATCTCCACCACCTCCTCTACCTCCTCGGAAACCACCACCGCGGCCACCACGACCAAATCCGCCACCACCACCTCCACGACCACCTCCACGACCACGGAATGACATGTTGATTATATTATGGTACCTGCGATAAAAATAGATAATGAATTTTTGATAACATAATGCAATTAAATGGTTTCAAATCACAGCTATATCACAGCTGCATTACAGCTATAATAGACTATTAAGGTATGTTATAATTAAGTTATTATTATTAAATAAGTTATTGTTACTGTTATTAATTTTATCTATAATGGTCAAAAAGGGTATAATATATTTTAATGAAGTATAACATTGTCTAGTTGGATACATAATAACAGTTCAATACAATGTTATGGATCTTCAACGCTTACTATTAAATACAATGCATTTAATATTAAAAATAATAAAAAATTAATAATGAATTCTATTTAACTACACATACAAGTAGTAAGAATATATCTTAAGCTGAGCTTGATGTTACGTCTATAGCCAATGGTTCATCACACAAAATGACACCACATGGAACTGAATAGACTCATTTGATGTCTCAGTATCTTTTGACCGATAGTTTGATCTTATTAAATGTAAAGGTCTATTGGTATTATAATGTTGTATTGAACTATTTTTATCCCTCCAACTAGACAAAGTACTTTTACAAAAAGAACTGAATAAATTATTAGAAAAGACTATCACGCCGGTTCTTCAAAAAAAAAAAAATAATTCTTTTAAGCTTTTACAGTCAAAAGTTGTAAATGAAAAATTTAAAAAAAAGCTCCTTCTCAGCCCTTGATAAATCACAACTACGGTGCACTTGACTTATTTCAAAATTAATTTTAAAATCCGCACGCCTCACGAGTTAACCGGTGTAAATCCACGTGTTCCTTCTTAACCTCACCGAAGAAGCACACTGCAACTGTACAAGTAAACAAATTTTTCAATTGTCCACTTGTTGCAATCGCGTACTTGCACAGAAACAACGACGACGACGTACGTTCGTCAAAGTCGGCGTCGAGATAAACTATTTACACTATATATAATTAAAATCTTAATCGTATGCAGACTTACGGGGTTAGATTATTACGAAAAACAACGTGCGCCGCTCAACACATGCACACAGGCGCGCTCGAATTTGCTTCAGGCACTACACACGGACAGACAGTAGACACGCGCACGAACGAGCGAGGAAAACTTGCGCATTCTCGGGGGAGACGGGACGCTGCTGCGACCAGGCGGCAACCTTGAGAAACATCTCGCGGTCGCTTATGCTCTGCGCGTGGAGTCGCCGCAGCGGGATATTTCAAAATCGAGGATTGAAATGAATACAGAGACTGCAGTTGTTTCGAAACTTTTTTGGTTTATCGTTGCGTAATAATAACAAATAACTTTAAAAAAAATAAATGTACATGAGGTATAAATCAGTCACAATATCTCATCTCAAGATCATTGATCGCAGCAAAAAAATGTTCGCAATCGCTTGATAAAATTTAACACTGGGTAGTAATTATCATCTATATGTAAAGGAGAGAATAAAAAAAAATAGATAAACTCGCTCGCTATGCTACATAATACTGGAACACGAGCATTATCATCTGTACATAATCGATCACATTCCTTTGTATGCAGCATATTTTTTTTGGTCACGTGCAGATTGTAACACGATTATTTCGTATAATCTTGAATTATAAAATTAACGACACGCATATATTTTTACAGCCAACTGCCAACTGTGTTGCGCTAAATTTCCGCGGGCTGCGGCGGATGCAGATAATCCTTCAGCTCGATGTACTTGGGACCGCCGAACGTGTCCAGCAGCGCGATCGAGCTGATCTTCAGCGTGGCGAAGAAGAAGTGATGATCTGCGGAGAGACGAATTACAAATTGAATATGTTGTTTTGATATGCGGCACTGCGATGTGTCCTTATAATTTACACTTATACCTTTTGGCATGTGAGCCAGCCACGGATGTCTGCCGAAGACTGCACTCTTGGCGGCTGGATAATCCGGATTGTCGATGCTTATCTGTAATCGCACGAAATAGAGACATCAATAATTGGATACGTAGTGAATATAAACATGGACGCAATACCGTACCGGCTTGATCAATCCAGAAAAGACCACCCGGGCGCATCGCGGATCCATCGGGTCGTAATTCATGGCCCGGCAGTAGCGACCTTGTGCCAGGGTCATCATCAGCGTCGCGCGATTGTCCCTCTGCGTAATTATAATCCATCATTAATATCATCGTCATCATTATTATTATTAAAATGCATGTTTGCGCGCTAGTCAAAAAAGCAGATCGTCTTATCGATCTCGCGATTGTTTGCCGATCTTTATCGATCGTCGTTATTCAGTCTGCTGCCTTATCTCTCGCCTCTCCTGTGCGCAGCCTCATTTTCACTCTGTTATCTTCGCGGCAATATAATCCTTTTAATTCCACCTACGCGCGCTCCTTTGTATTTCGTGCGCGAAAATTACTTTTAGTTTTATTACCAAGCTCGCGATAAGAAGAAAATATAAGGTTTGAACCGCGCGAAACGATTTGTATTACGTATATATAGGATATGCCCGCGTATATAGACGCGTGTTATATAGATACGATATATATACACTACTTACAAAAACGTCTTGCGCTGTAAAATCTAACGGTGTCAGGAACAAATATGGAATTCCAGTACCGTTCCCGAGAGGTCCATCGCTGAACGAAATGACATTGCAGAACGGATAGCTTTCGATGTCTTTTCGCGAGCTTATTGTCGCCACCGAGGTCCAACCTGTATATATTAATAATGATTATAATGTATGCGTAATTATAAAATTACGAAATTCGAACGTAACGTTACGTATGGATTCGCGCAAATTAAACACCGACGCACAAGTCGAGGTTATTGACTACTATATACATACCTGCTTGGTTGACGATGTATCGAGCCATCAGTGCCGCCTGATCGATCGGCGGCGGTCCTACCCGGCTTCCATGACTCCTATGCCGATCTTCCTCGGCGATGGGATAGAAATCGACGTCATCCTCGTTGTAGTAGTAGTAGTCGTTGAGATCGTCGACTCGGTGACGATGACCGCCGCCGCGATGCCAATTGGGCTTGTTGCGCTTGCCGTGCTCGTAATCGTAATACGATTTCCGATTCCTCGGAGCAGTTAACCCGGCGGCTTCTCGCCGCTTCCAGGCGCGAAACTCCTGGAACTCCTTGAATTCGCGCCAATCGCGATAATCCTCGATGTTGGTCGACTCGACGACGAGGAACAACGATACGATCGCGGCCAGACCGATCAAGACGATTTTTAATTCTCTAGACATCCTGTGTGTGTGTAGCGTACCGAAAATAAAAAAAGAGGAATTTGATTTTCGTTTATCTGCGATATACATGAATTTCGCGCGGTTCAAACTTTCTAAATCGCGATTACGTTACGCGTACGTATAATGCGTACGTATTTTTGGCCGGAAAATCAAAGAATCTATAACGCAATCAGCGCGTCAGCGGTGCGAGGCTGGGAAATTCGATCGGAATATAATATCATATCCCGAATCAACGAGACTGCAGGCACCCGAAGTGCTATAGTCGAGGATTTTAATTATAAATAGTAGCACAAATAATCACGTGCGTATCTCGAATCGAGCTTCTCTCTTTCTCTCTCTCTCCTTCGAGCGCGGCACGTAGTCATTATCGATTACTCGATCTCTGTGCCCCTAGCGCGCGAGATTATTATATCGTATATGTGCATTATACGCGTGTGTGTATACGATCGCGATCGTGCGCACAAAGTTGCCGAGCTTTATTATAAAGTAATAATAATATATTTTTCGCGTCGAAAAAGATCGGCGCGCGAGAGGCAAAAAAAGGTCAATTAGAAAAAGTCGACGCCGCGCGCGGGAAAAATCAACACGGGGAGAAAATTGCAATTAAACTTTCATAAGCTCGTTTTCACGCGTGTCCGTATGTAATGTATATCCAACATTCGCGGACGTTGATTATTTTTCTCGAAAACGGCGCGTCGAGGGTGGTCGTCGTCGTCGTCGTCGCGTGCGTGAGATATTTATACGGAAAAACGAACGTAATGCATTTCAGAACACGCAGCCAAAAACGAAATAAGAAGTGCAGAGTCACGAATATCGTATACAGAGTATACGTATAGCACTGCACGCGATCGTAGATGTATATAATATTTAATCTCGCGTACCTGTTCTTGCAACTTTGTTATCATACGTTAGTCGATGAAAATAAAATGGGAGGAGAACAAAAAAAAAAATTTGTCACCGGAACCGACGGCGACTTGTTGATTTAGCTCGAAATTGGTAATAATGTCGCGCACCGGTTTCACCGAATAAAGAGGCAGAAAGTACAAGTGCGCACTTACATACACGCATACACACACACACACACACACACACATGCACGAATGCGTCATGCGAGCAGACTACGCGCGTTGATTCGTTCCGATCAGAAGCACGAAGCACACGAGGCGATGTATTATAATAATGCTTCACCTCGGTCTTTCTTTTTTTTTTATCAAGTCCGAAACGCAGGTCTAATGTAACGGTTAAAAGCCACAGCTATGTGTGTTATTGGTGTGTTTGTCATCGGATCATCGTGCGCGCGCGAGAAACATTTACATACAGTGTGTATATATTTTCACGTGTGCCCGACCTCGCTCCGCAACTATAACGATGATCCGATCGCGTGAATATCACATTTGTATATAGAAACCAATGAACGAAGGAGGAAAAAAATGTCGATGTTTGAGAGAAAAAAAAATTTGATATACCTGAGTTTAAAGAGTATAATACTACGTTATATTCTCTGCGGTGTTGACCCTCGTTACATGCCTGGAGAAGCCGCTTCGCACACACAAACACACTCGGCGAAAAAAGAAGTGTATTACCTCGTATACGTATGGAGTTGCTCTATCGCGAAAATAAAAAGTAATACATAACTTCTCTTTTTGTATTATACGTGCCTATTACGACTGCGCTGCTCTTGATCACTGTCACTTGCTGCTGCAACCTGTCGTAATTCGCTCGAGTCGCGTTGTGTGTGTGCAGTCTGCTGCTGCTGCAGCACAGAGTCAAGCTGCACAGAACGAGAGACGACGACGACGACGTTATACTTATTATACTTTTACGCGCTACTGTTGTGTTGTGTATATGTAAACTCGGAGCGCCGCGGCGCGCTGCTGTTTTTCTGTCTCTGCGCCTTTTGTGTGTTTTCGCTTCTTTCTTCCCTCTGTTGTAAACGCGAGCGGCCACAGCTGATCAAATCTCTTCGGCAGATTAATGATTTTCTGCCTGTCCGACGGTGCAGTCATATTTCGCTTCATTATTATAGTCGCGTGCAAGACTCCAAAATTTGTATCATTTTATCGAAACTTCGCTCTCGTTTCTTTGCGGCTGTTGCGATGTATGTAATAGATGCGACGACGATTGAAAGGAAAAACACAGTCTTATTTTTTTTTACTTTTTTTCGTACTTTTTCTTTATTTCGAGAGATACGCGCATCGAGATAGCAGCGTACATATAGGAATCGTACGTCGTTATATATTATACTTTTTTTTACGCAGAATTACAGAAGAAATGTAGGATGTAAACAGGCATTAGAGATAGTGTATTATACAGTGTATACGTAGGACAGGTGGTTGTGCTCGTTGTCGCGACGTCGCGCATTGCGCAATTTTCGTCATTATTATACTATACTCTAACATAACGGCAGATTTATCTTTGTACGTAGTATAGGTACTTCCCATTTCTCACGGATTGATCGTTTTATTTCCTATTTTTTTTTCCTTTTAATACGACGACGAAAGCGTGTCACACGAGATTGTGTGTACACACATCACATATTAAAAAATAGAAGTTTATGTAGCGTCGCATCATCGTCATCGGTAAAGCGATCGGTAGGCGCGAAGGGACTCCTCGCTGGCTCGGTAATAATCTTCGGGGGTGACGCGCGCCGCGCCGCCGAAAAACGCCAGCACGTCGATCGTCTCGATTTCCATACGAGCGAAGTAAAAATGATGATCTGCGTCAGTGCGTAGAAAAGAGGAATTCGTGATTATTGCGAGAAATGTATTAGAAAATTTATTACGATGAGGTGCACTTACTAGCCGGCATGTGGGAGAGCCACTGATGACGTCCGAAAATTGCACTCTTGGCCGATTCGTGGTCTACGTCCTTTTCTTCTACCTACGTATGGATACATCATTGTGAAATATGTACATGCAATTTATATGTATTATGCTTACCGATTTTATTCTACCGCTGATGATAACTCGAGCGCATCTCGGGTCCATGGGGTCGTAGCCTTTGACCTTACACCAGTCACCCTGCACGAGTGACATCATCAGGGTTGCACGATTATCTTTCTAAAATATCATGTATACAAATCGAGGTTGTCCATTAAAACGAAATCAAATGTACTATGATTTATTCAATTGATTAGTAAGACTCACGCTGAGATCTTTACTGGTGCTGTCCAGAGGCGTGAGAAACAAGTAGGGCACTCCGCTGCCGTTGCCCAGTGGCCCATCGCTGCTCGACACGATGTTGACGTAGGGATAGCTCGTCAGCCTCGGGTCGGTGCTGATCGTCGCCACCGAGGTCCAGTCTAGACTCAACGAAACACACACACACAGTATGATATCTAACTTTGTATTAGCGAACTATGTATACACGGAACAGGATGAAACTTACTCGCCTCGTTGACGATGTAACGAGCCATGAGAGCACTTTTACCGTGATGAGGCGGCTCGCGGCGTTGCTGCAGCCCCGGCCGATCGGCGCTTATATCGCGCGACTCGACCAAGCTCGACAGCAGCAAAAGTACAACAAGCGGAAATGCGCAGGTGTACTTCATGGTGATGCACGATGATCGCTGTTTCGCTTGCAACTATAATGATATTTCGGACGCGACCTGCGTCGAGCAAGCGAACGATTCGATGCGTGCGTAAGAAAGTCGGTTTACCGATTTATATACAAGTATCGTTTATGACTTATATGTAAAGCATAAACGATCATTTGACAGATAGAGCATTAGTAATTACGGCCGATATTTTATCATTTTATACGTGAGCGTTCGTTGCGTGTCGGTACGTGCATATTGTTTATCTATAATCCGATCGTATCTCTAGTTATTATAAAATTAAAAAAAAGAAAAAAGAGGGAATGAAAAAAATCACGTCTATAAAAAAAAAAAAGAAATAAATTATATCTATCGAGAGAAAAGTGCCTACGAGTATCCCATTCTTATCGAGAAATCATAGTTCGTGTAATCAACGTTTGTTAATAGAGATACATTTCATTTGTAGATGTGTACCGACGAAAAATGCACTTTTCAAATCGTAATAATAAAACAATCGTCATTTCATTCAAATTCGCGCACCATATAACATTATCGTGGGCGCGAGATAATCTATTTATTCGCAGGTATAACATCGTCATCGTCTCGTATGAATGAGAAATAATACATAAGAAAAGTGTATGTATATAACGCATGGCGAACATAAGAAACTGGCACTGGTTTATCGTGTGCCTCATGGGTTTGGTATATACGCGAGCACAGCAAGTGTAGTATTATGTCTGTGTACGTATGTGTGCGTATATGTACGAGCGCGCGAGAGAGAGAAGAAATGTGGGTCGCCGGCTAACTGTTCCATCGTACCGTTCTCGGGGCCTCCTCCCACTCGGGCACGACGACGACGACGACAGCGGCGGCTGTGCGGCCTTCGGTAGGGGTCGTCGTCGCCACCATCCAACCAACTTCTTCCTTGGGGCCCGAGCGTCAACAACTCGGGAATACAGTCCCCGGCGAGACTTTGCGAGACACGCACATATAACACGAAAAATATACACTTACGCGTATACGGCGCAGGTATACACGTTAGATCGATAGACGCATTGCGAACGATTTGAGATAGAGGCGCGCGACGAGGCGCTTTCGCTTTTAGTATTTTTTTTAAATTTTTTCAACCCCGAGAGGTTGACTTTGAAGAAGAGAGTAAGAGACACAGTGAAAAATAAAACAACAATTTTGCATTTTCTTCTCGACATGATCAGTTGAGAAGCACTTTGTCGATCAAAAAAAATTTCGCGAGTATTCGGAGCAGATAATGAGAATACATCGTTGAAGCTTTTTCGAGGATAGAAGCTAATGTGAGAAGATTTGTTCATCCACGAGGACTTGATCAGCATCGAGTGAGTACCATCCATTCAATAACTATATGATACATCGTTTATCGATTCGTGAGAATATTTTCCAAATTATTTCATCCATCGGATCTCTCGTTGAACGATAATACATCAAAACACCCTATTAGCAACGATACGGTTTCGGTCGTTGTCTCTTGCAATAAAGTATCGACCCATACCGATCAGGATCTATCTCGAATCGTAATAATACGTGTTAATAGCTTTGGCACGCGGCTCCTACAGCGACGATCGTTGCGTTTACGTTACGTTACGATAGTAGTAAGTACGTCTTAACGCGAAAGAAACGGCAACGTTAGCGGTATAAAACTGCCGCGACGCGCGTGCACACGCGAGAGAGAGAGAGAGAGAGAGCTTCGAACTGCCCGCGCGCGCGGAATCGGCGCGTATCGTCGTTCGTAAATACGCGTATAAGTGTATTACGGTCCTTTGACTACTTTTGCGTGTTTACGTCTCTGTGAGTGTATATGCGCATAAACGGAACCTTTGGAACTCACGGTCGAATTCTATATCTGTAAAACGACAAAAAAGTATGTTTTCGAGATATATGGGCAAAAGGTAGCGATCCATTCGAGTGTACGTAAGACTAATGTGCTACAATCATTATCCGCGAGCTTTAATTGATATCTATTTCTCCAGAGTAAGAGAGAGAGAGAGATGTCTACGCACGATTATACACGCCTCGATTTCCGCAAAAATCAGCCGCGAAGCTGTGCGTCGATAGGTGCACACTATACACACACGCGAATGCACGAGCGGCTATCGCAATAAACACGCGCGTTAATTAAGTAGAGCGCTCAATTTTTCACTCGCCTCGGACACAGAGTAACTTTTCGTGTGCAAAAGGCACACAGCTAATAAATACCTATATCCCATACGGCTACAAGACTCCGAATGACGTGCCTCTATGTATATAAAGAGGAGAGTTGGAAAGAAAGTTCCGAAGGCGCGCGTTAACGCGCGCGGACTCCCCCTTTTGATTGCGTATAAATATATCACTGCGTCCAGTCCAGAGCGGCCTGTGTGCGTGTTTCAGCCAGGGAAATCCGCTTAAATTTCTATTTCGAAAAAAAAAGGAACAGAAAAAAAAAACGAACGAGCGTGTATACGAAACAACAACGGGCTACTACTACTATCCACTGCTAAGTGGCTTTATCTTATGCATTCGCATTCCGATCTACATCTGCGCGAGTGTAAACGAGCATTACACGCGCGCGCAGAATAGCAAATTATCATTGGAAATTGGCAATTTAATCGAATGTTTCCGAGTGTGTCTATATGGTGTGCGTTATGCTCGCGTTTCGCGCGATAGCAGGCACGAAACATATATATAATATATCATCATTATCCCCTGTATAGCGCCAAGGAAAACCTACCTACGTACGACACACGACGACGTATCGTACATATTTCTAGCTAAGCTGCGCGCGAGAAAGATATTTTCCGACTGAATTATTTTTCCCATGCTTATATATAGGCGCGACAAAAACTTTCTTCGCTTTCCGCGCAGACAATTATTATTGCGCGCTCGCGAGCGCAAACGCGCGCGTTTAAGATAATGTACACACACACATACGTACACACTAACGAGTTGACGTAACTTACGAGCTGAGCATTTAACTGCGCATGCATTATTTTTGTTTTTCCGCAAAAATATACAGTACCCGCGCGCGTTTCTATTAATAGACGTCGAAATAAAGAACGGAGAGAGAGAGAGAGAGAGAGAAAAAAAATCACTGCCGGACGGACGCGGACATTATATTAGGAGAAATTCAGTCCTCTCGCGCGCCAAAGTTATAAGTATATAAGTAAGCTCGAAATTTCTTTGAATGACAATAACTCGGCGCCGAGCAGTATAAATCTCTTAATCTATGTAGGACGTATTTGAGAATTTGACATCGTTTTACCATTTTCATCCTTTTGTACGGCGCTCATCGCGCGAATGCCTCGGCTACCTATATACAAGTGCGTCAAACGTTTAAGCTCGCGCGCGCGAACGCGCGTGAAAGTGACGATAATAACGCTCGGCGCTCGCTCCGGTCCGCGTCACCGTGGCACAGGTATATATATATATACAGGTACAGCACGATTGAATCGTTACCCGTGAGATTAATAAGATTTCCAACCATGTATATATGTACAGTGACGGCTTTCCATTTTTATCGAAACTTCGCCTAATAACCCATCGGGGAATTAAAATGTACTTTTTTCTTCCTCCTCTTCTTCTTCATTTTTTACGAAAGCCTAAATTCCTTCGCGTACTACGTTATAAATATGCTATATACGAGATCGTTGTACACGATGTTTCGGCGAGAAAGAGCAAAGGAGAAGAGGAACGAGCAAAAGAAGAAGAAGAAGCAAGAGCGAATCTGTTGCTGTATATATGCACGCGATAAGTAGGTCGTCCCGAAATCCCACTGTACCACTGCACCGCGAGAATCGTGCATGTGGTGCCGTATATATAATGTACAGATATTTCCGTACGTAGATGCACCAAAGATTACGGTTACGCGTGCGTGATGCGGAGTGTTTGTGTAGCTCTGGCATAATAATATATATAACAACGATTTCGCCAGGCGCACGCCTCGAGTGCATCGTACCGTGTACACACACACACACACATACACGCGCGCGCGAACGTATTTCAATGATATCTCGTTGCCGATTATGTATAGCTGTATAGTAAGTTGCTGTCGAGGTTGAACCTTGACAATGACCGGTTAGAGCAAAGTCGAGGACGAAAATACCTTGAACGGAGGCGTTTTTATATCGATCTCGAGAAGTTGAGCTTTTGTTTAAATTTCTTTTTTTCTTTTTCTTTTCGTGTCACACATATGAGACTAACGTACGAAGCAATGCCGAAAATTGTTTTAAATTATTTTCTTATTATCGTTTTTTCTATACGTTAATCGAAAACTTTGATACAAATCTCATTATGGTATAGGATACGCAGTGCAGTGCAATGTGGTCTAATAAGAGGACACATACCTGCACGATCCTCGGCTTATTTCGCTCGGCGTTCAATATACATACGTATGCGCTGTCCAATACCGTTAAGTTTTATACACATGTATAATATTATAAAGTCCGCACGTGTGTTTGTGTGTGTGCGTGTGTGTCTGCATGTGGCGCGATGATGTTTCAACTCGTTCGTGCACTCGTTCGCTGCGCGTATATGCAATATGCGCACACACGATGATTCTCGCTCCGAAAAAGAGATGAAAGACGAAAGCGCAGCGCGCAACAAAAAAAAAGTAACGTCTCGAATTGGATGGATACACTCACACACACACACGTGCAGAACTAATTTGTTTGCCTCGTGGACGCGGTCTGACGGCCGAACACGCATTATAACGGGCCCCGCGCTATCATAGAAGATGAGCGCGAATATAATATATACCTGTATGTACTGTTTCTGCAACAGCGACCGAACTATATCTGCACAATTTTTTGTTGCTGTTGTTGTTGTTACAAAATCACAATGCGTTAATCGGGCACGTATACACACGATGCTGCGGGCTGTTACGACACGCGATGCGACTGCTGCGCACATTATAGGCACGTGAACTTTTCACTGTCGCGCTGCGATCTCGAAAGTGCGAGTATATAGGTATATATAATACACGGTACGTATGTACGCATAAAGTCGCGTGTGCGAGCTGCAGCTGCTGAACCAGAAGCGTATAACATAACCGATGATGCGCTTCTATGCCTCTATATATACATGTGTATCAGCGACAACAAGAAAGTCGACAAAAAATATATATAGAACTGGTAAATCGGAATGCGCACCTCGTGCGCGTGTGTGATACAGGTTTAAGCGACAGAAGCGAGAGCAAATGCCGCTAGGATGCACTCTCGAACGTCAACGCACTCGCTTGGCTTTATGCGGTAATAGTCGATACGACCAAGACGAGATCGAAATGCATCGAATCGGGCGCGAGATGAGGAAAAAAAACTGACCGCGGCTATTATTTGTATATATAGCAGCTTTTTCCTTTTTTTCCATTCACGCAATCGAGTCTCGTTATAAACGAGCGTATCGGATCGAGCTATGGACAAAAGTACAAAACAAACGAACTAACGAAAGGATTATCGAACCGTATATTGCAAGGATTAACTTAGCTCGAGCTATAAATCGACCATTGATCGATGTTGGCAGCTATATCACCGGAGCCTAATTAACACGACATCGAGACTTTTGGATGCATATATAGATCGGAAAGTTTCACCGCTGTTATAGGAAAAGCGAAGAGCTTTGCACAAATTTGCACGATTTATGGGATTATATACGCGATCCAAGTTATTATACCCAGCCACGCCATAGCTGCGTCGTCGTCGTCGAAATCGTCAAACTCCTATAAATATATCCTCGTTATTTTTGATATCCCAGCGCAGCTCCTTGTTTATACCGATCGCCCGGCCGCGACCACCCACCTGCGCTGCGGACTGCAACTCGCTCTCTCTCTCTCGATTTTTCGATAAATCACACAACGGCGTCAGTAGCCCTCGTGTGCGAATACTTGTGTACATTAAGCAGAGCCTCGCTCGTTCTGGCCACGCCGATTAAACATATAAATTCACGGGCATTTATCGGGCCTTGTTTTTCGAAAGCGAAACGTGCTCGCGTTTTCGCGACAAGCTCGTATATACATTCTTTATCAATACGTATCACACACATATATGCGTGTGGTACAAGCAGTACAAGACAGACAGTGAGAGAGATCGTTAATTCATTTCCCGTGTATTATAAGAATATTATAAAAATGTGCATACACTGCACACATACATACGTACACGCGGCGATTATGACTCGCGCGCGCGCGACTTAAATCATATTATCAACTTTCTCTATTTGGCCTATAACCCAGCTCTCCGCTGGGGGGATAATTTTTTCTCACCCGTTCGTAGCGCGCGAGAGAGTGATTAATGCACGCGCACGCTAAATATCCGTGCGTGTATCGTCGTCAATCGGACCGTGCGGATATTCGCAATTTTCTTCTTTGCAGTATCCTGTGCATTTATAAATATCGCGTATACGCGGCTTACGTAAAACAACTCGCTTTTCAATCGACGCACATAGCTATAATGATTCCTCTCGTCCTTTTTCCCGAAGCAATTTTTTGCTCTTTTAGCTCGCGTTGCTCTCCTTTTTTTTCTCCTATCTCGAGTAAAAACAATCCGCGAGGCAGGTGAAAATATCAATAGCTCGCTCGCGTATAGTTATATAAAGCTTTTCCTCTCTCTCTCTCTCTCGCGGGGCTGGTGAATAATGTATAATAATGGACCGCGCGCGAGCATAGTTGGGACTGCGTAAATCAGCGTAAACTTTCCTATTTGGATATGCACATACATGCGTGTATGTATCGTTCATTGGACGCGAATACGCGTACGCGATAATTCATCGACGCGGGCTCGTTAAACTCATGTGCGCTGCTTAGTGTACAAACAAGCGCTTGCACTTGTGCGCGCGAAAATCAGTCGTGTCGTCGTTAATTCAATGAATCTTATAAACATCGTTCATGCGCCTCGATCAATTATATCCACGTCCATTTAACGAGTCCAAAATGTCGAGGCTGTGGATCCGTATATATTATAATATAACGCGTACATTGTATCGAGCGCATCGTCGTCGTCGTCATCTTCTCGTGTACGCGTATACAAAATCGTCAATCACGCGCGCTTATATACATTATTATCATCATCATTATTGTATATTACGAGCCGCGCGCATGGACACTCGAACGATGCGGTCGCGCGGCGGCTCGACGACCCAGACTCTCGCTGCGCGAGTATATAATATGTATAAAGAGAGGTCAGGCGAGCGCATTAATGCTAAAAGTCAGCTGCCAATATATAAAACGAGCGAGGAGTGCATGCTAACGAGCAGCCGCCGCACGCTGCGATACGTGCGTGTGTATATGGGTGTTGCAGCAGCGGCAGCAGCGGCAACGGCCGTGACCATGACCACGAGTCGAGGAATCTGTGTCAGAGAGCCAAGAGAGCCTCGGCGCGCACACTTCCTTGCATATATATCCTCCTTTTTACTCTTTCTTCTTTCGTCTTCTGCTGCCTCTTTCTCTCTCTCTCTGTGTTTCAGAGTGCAGTACTTATACATCCCATTGTTATAAAGAGATGTGCTGCTTCGTTCTATACGTGCCTTTGTGTGTTGATTCATAGTTGTCTCGTTGTTTTTTTCTTTTATCTTCATTCTTTCTTTCTTTATCCTCGAGCGCAGAGGTTGATTTTATCCAACGCGACGAGGATGGGAAAAAATGGATATTTTTGGCACTCCGTACTAAAAAAGAAAGTATCGCTTGGCTCGATCGATCAAAAAATATAAAGAAAGAAAGAATCAGGAGAGTTGGAAAATTCGCTATGACGTTATACAGTTGCGGTTTGCACGAGCTCTAAGTACGAGCCATCTTTTTAAATTCGCTTCGTAAGTAGGCTTTCTATACGTGATTGCTCGTACGCATACTAACGCGGATCACAATAAAGCTCGTATTCTCGTAAAAAAAAACGTAGCGCATCTCAACGAATGCGACATCGTAGACATTTTTTTTTCTTTTTCCGGCGCGAACAAAATCGATTTCGGAAGTAGGCAGCTCGATATATCCTCGTCGCATAAAAGATAAAATAAGTGGGTCCTCGTGCAATCAAGGGCGTGTATAGAAGCAATACGCGCGCGCGCGCGACACGTTAATTTATTACGGTAAATTTTTGCGCGTTATCGGCAAAAGCGACAGCTGCTGCTGCTGCCGCTGCCGCTCGAGCGACTAAAATGTATTACGGTCGCGTGTATATAGTGTATATATATATACGAGAGCTTGAAAAGAGATAAACACCGATTTCGAGCGCGCAACGCCGCGGAAATATTGAAAAAGAAAGCCCCCCCGCCGCTACGCCGTGACGACGATCGGTTGGGCGCCTGCCGGTCGTCGTCGACCGGTTTATACATATATGAAATATACTGCAAAAATAAAAGCGTTATAATACCGATTGATGCGCGCGCTTCGGGAGCGATTATAATTTTCGATCGCCTCGACTAACGGTATATACATATAATGTCATTGTCAAACTTTTCTGATTTGTATTAAGACTCGACTTTTGCTTTCTCTCTCTGTGCGATATAGAAAATCAACGGAAAAATGGGTCCGCTGAAATGGACGACGTTCCTGTTCGCCGCTGCAGCGATAACGTGCGGCGGCGTTTCCGGGGACTTTCTCATGGGCGGCCACTTGGACAACAAAAACGGCCAGGAAATGATGGAGAAGCGCATGGACGACACGGACCTCATGGCGGAGGAGAGCAGCGCGTCCGCGACGAGCTATCCCGACGGCGAGGCGAGGTGAGCATCTTCATATTTTTATATACTACATTATATAGGAAACGATCGACAAATTTCACGACTACATCTTGCGGCTCGTACAGGTACAAAATTCCGTACGCCTTCGCGTTCAACGGTGGCGTGCCCTTCTCCCTCGAGAAGGATCCCATCACCGGTGAGATCGATCTGGAGAAGGCGCCGCCGCTCAAGGCCCTCAACATCTCCGAGATCTATCAGGACGATGATGAGGAGAGCAGCGACGATTCCGCCACGGAGTCGGCGGCTGCTCGCAACGACGAGGACAGCAGCAACGACGACTACGGCGGCGCCTACGGCAAATTCGGCTATCACGACGGCAAGCGCAAGGGCGTCGACCGTCTGGGCCCCAACGAGATCAATCCCTACTCGCCGAGCTTTCACGACTTTCTCAATCTGCCGGTGAAGTACAGCTCGGACAAGTACCAGCAGCGGCAGGATTATCCGCTGATCTCGAGCAGCTACGCCAACACCAAGGTGCAGAGCGGCTCCAACAGCTACAACATCAACAATCACCGGCCGACCTATCACCAGGAGACGGCTATCAGGGTAAATATTGGATATATAACTATTATAGAGCGAATGTTGAATAGATGTAAATTCTTACGATTGAAAATTTGTACAGGTGTCCACGAGTACGCCGAGTCGCAGGATTTATTATCCCAAATCGACTACGACTACTACGACGACGACGACGATGAAACCCAGAACTACTCCCACGACCACGAGTACGACTACGACTAGCACGACGACGACGATGAGGCCAACGACGACGTCGACGACAACGACCACGACGACTCCCAAACCCGTGGAAATCATCAAGAAATACACGTCCCCGAAACTGGTGAGATTGACGAAAGCGACGACGCCGATGCCACCGCCGACTCCCAGAGTGACGACGTGGAAGCCACCGAAGACCAACGCCAATCGCTACGACGTCGACGAGTACGACGAGATGCTGCCGATCGAGAAGCTCCAAGGCACCGGATTCAGCGGCGACAGCATGGGGTAGGCATTATAAAGATTCTTAACGCGTTTACGAATCCGAGATTTTTAAATTTTACACGATCGTCGTTTGCTTTACAGACACTACCCGATGATGGTCAACAACGGACACAACAGCGGACCTCAGAGCCCACCCAGAATGACCACGACGACGACGACAGCCGCGCCAGCGGCCTACGACAGCTACGACGACGGCTACGACGATTACGAGCTGTCGTCGCACGAGGAGCAGGCTGACAGCAACAACTCGCACAATCGCTATCAGGCAGCGGAAACGACCTTGTCCTCGAGCACGTCTACTACTGCTACGTCTGACTCGAGCTCGACGGCTGCCCCGACGACGATGAGCGACGAGTCCGAAGAAACCGTACCACCAACAACGACGCCGCCGATCAGCGACGACTCCTCCACGGTGATCCACCTGACGACGGCCAAGACGACGGCCTCCGTCTCGACGCCGGTCACCTCGATGCCGATCGACGTGCCGCACATACCGCCGGTGCACGAGAACTTCGTCGAGATCAACAACAGGCCCGTCGTGTCGAACGTCGTCGATTTCTATCATCACGGTAAAAATCCGTCGAGCGTCGTTCAGGCGCCTCCGCCACCACCGCCTGCGTTGCACGGCGCCATGCGTTACCCACCACCGCCACCACCGCCTCACTCGCCGTACACCAGACCGGGCAGCGTGATCAGTGTGCTGCCCGAGAGCACGAGCAACGTCATAGTGCCCCACGACCAGGACACCGTGTCGTTCGTGCTGGGCAATCGGCAGAACGTCGAGGGCAGCTACTACACGCACGGCTCGGCCGTGGAGGAGCGACCCTATCCGGTCAACGAGGCGAGCTTCAGGCCGATTTACGGATCGATGAGCGTGAGCGTGAGTTGCTCATTTATACTTTATTCTTTTTTTATAACTTTGCGATTATTTTCATATTTTTTTTTATTCTTAAACAGGGTTCAAAAGTCCAAGTACAACAGCCAGCTCCGGATCAAAAAGTGTCGGTATCGCTTTCGTCCGTGGCCGTCGTCGAGCCATCGTCCGCTTACACGCCCCAGAAGTGGTACAATAACAACAATGAACAAGATACGCAGCAGCAGCCTCCAGCTGGTATGGTCAAGGCCGGCTTCGTGAGCGACGCCGAGCCACCGAAACCCCATCGTCAGGGACCTTACAACATCAACCAGAACAACAAGGACGACCAGATGGACTCGTCTCTGCAGAACGACGAGGTGCAGGTGTCGAGCGTCGTGACGTTCCCGCATCGGATCCAGGACAAGAAGGACGACCAGGTGTCCGAGCCCAACGTCAACTCCAATCGCGACCAGAGACCCGTCGAGGAGCACGTGATCGTGATCAATCAGGCCGACGGCTCGGTCAAGGAGATCGAGCAAGGTAATAATCAGCAGCAGCAGAATCAGCCGCAGCAGCAGCAGCCGGAGGTTGAGGGTGTCTTCGTGACCGGAAGCGTTTCCGGCAACGCGCCCAATCTCAATGTCAACAACAATCCGCAGCCAAAGCTGCCCCAACTCACGGACATGCTGACGCCGCCGATGATGGATAGACCACCGATGAAGTGAGCTCGATCGATCGAATCTTTTTTCCCCCTTCGGCTTTTTCTCGATGCTTATCGAATCGATTTTACCTTACAGCAGACCACCGACTGGAGCGCCGAATCAGCGACCACCGCACTACTTCCATTATCAGCACGGCGGTGGACATCATCATCAGCAACAGCAGCCACAGCCAGCGCCGCCGCAGCCACCGCAACAGCAACCCCATCATCCCTCGCATCAACATCCGCATCCGCATCAGCATCCACACCCTCATCAACAGCAGCAGCATCATCCGCATCAGCATCATCAACAGCAACAACATCCCCAGCAGCAGCAGCAGCAGCATCACATGCCTCACGGTCACATGCCACCGACCTCGGGCCCGAGCTCGTCCACTCCCATGCGTCCGCCTCAGAGGCTGCCGATGCCGCCGCGCAAACCCGAGCCCGTGATGCCCACGGTGGGCTTCAAGCGTCGACCCGGCAGCACTCAGGACCCCAAGCTGCCCAATGTGCTGCCGCACTTCCGGCCCAACGCCAAGACGTCGCACGGACATCGCGGAGCTGAAAAGATCGGTAAGCATCGGCTATGTAGTGGTATAGTACTTTGTATGCGCGCGAGGACGTGGGAAAGTAACCAGAGATAGAAATCCGTATTATTATATAGCGACGCATCGACGTATATATCATCATTATCGTCGTCCAATTTGAGCTCGGCGCGAAACCGTTTGAAACGCCAATATTTGAATTGCCGTATACGACGTGTGTATATATATAGCCGCGCGTATAAACGTGGTATTACCTACTTATTTCTCGTCAAAACTATGTCAATTGTAATATTTTTCCTTCTTTTTCTATATCTATAATGTACTTTTTCATCCATCCATCCATCCTGCGCAGATGTGACTTGTAATATTTTCGCGGAACTGTCTTTTATATATATACTACTATCTCGTGCCACCGTTGCCGTACATTATACACGGAATAATATCCATCGTCACTTTCTTATAAAGCTTCCTATCTCCGAGCGGCGGGATAGGAATGTAGGTGAAAAAAAAACACCATATCTATTGTGCGCTGCTGCTATATAGGAGCTGCGCTACGGAGAGAATGTCTGTATCTAATACGCGTCTTCGCGAAGGCACTTGTTTATTTACTCGCGCGTGCGCGCGGCGGAAACTGTGCCGATTTCGATCGCCACGTGTCTCGTTATTATAAAACGATGACTGTAATTACTGTACTTAACGAGCGAAATTGCGGCTCGTTACCTTTTTTTTCGCGGGATGTATAATGAATTTTCATTTTATTTTTATTTTTGCTACGCTGCACCTAACAGGTACCATCCCGGCAGCGCAGAGCTACTTGAACGGCAGACCGCCGCGACCCCCGGTACATGGTCAATCGCCACCGCCGCACTTCCATCCGGGTGTCTTGGGGGCCGCGCCGTCGTCTCAGCGTCGTACTCATCTGCCGCCCCAGCCACCGCATCAACAGCCCATGAACTCGCCGGCACCGCCGTCGCATTTCCAGCGTCCGCCGCCGTTGCCGCTGCCCCAAGCGCTGCAGCGCAAAAAAGAGGATAATACGGTAGGGACGATGCCCGCACCAGCCTCGGCGCTGCTGCCGCCGCAAGCTCGACCTCAGCACGGGGCCCACCAGCAGCAGCAGAAGCACCGCATGGAGGACGAGCTGGCGAACGCCGAGCGCTTCCCCGTGGAGCCGCCCCAGATATCGCCGAGGCCCATCGTCTTCATCAAGAATCGCTCGGACGGCCACATGCCCAAGGTCGCGACCCTGCAGATGATACAGCAGCGGGGCGGTGGACTGGACGACGATCTGATCAGGTCGAATCTGCCGCCGCTGTTCAAGGTCAAGAGCGGCAGCAGCAGCAGCGACGACGAGACCGATGATCGCAACGAGAACTCGACCCTGAACAACGAGACCGACCGCAAGGACAACGACGTCAACAACAACGCCGGCGCCGACCAAGTGGGACCCGTCTACGTCGTCTACCCGGTGAACAGCGCCGTGAACATCGGCAGCCAGGAGGACGATCGGGACGGCGACGACGACAGTGCCGGCGAGCGCGACGAGTCCGTGGTGATCGGTACCGCGAACGGCTCCCAGCGGCCCCTGCCCCCCGTCGCACTGCCCGTGCCCGGTCAGCAGTCCTCCTCATCCTCCCAACAGCAGGATCAGGACGACATCAGGCGCAACGAAGCCGCCGACGACGCCTCGGACAGGCTCACGGGACTTTATTACGGAATAAAGAAACCCGATTTGGGAAACGGAATCGTGAGTACAAAATGCAAAAAAAAAATTACATTATAATTACGTTGTATTATTATTGAACGCACGCGCGTGTGTGTGCGCGTAATCGTTAAATCTGCACGCCTTTCGCTCGTGTAATGCGTATACCACACTTTATAGTATACGTATGTATGATGCCCATTTGAAGAGTTTTTAATGCCAATACGATTAACGGTACATATCCGACTTGACTCCATCGTCCGTCCGTCCGTAAGTGTGTATACGTGCTCACCACGTATCGCGCGAGAGAATTAACGGTCGCGCGCGAGTGACCTATTTTTTTCTGTTTTTTTTTCTTTTTTTTCAACTCAATCTACATACGAGATATGTTATTATCGCTCAATCAATTCGGAATATTCAATCTCGTGCCGGTGATAAATACATACGCGCGAATAATAATATTCCTTCTTTTTTCTCTTGCCTCTCTGCAGAATTATCCGGAGCAGCAGCCGTTCCTGAGACACGAGAAGCCGCTGCTGGTGCCGAGCGACGGTCGGGACGATCTCGAGCTCGCGCCCCCCATAGTGCACCATCCTCATCCGAATCATCAGCAGATCTATCAGCTCGATCGAGAGTTCGAGGACCAACAGCAGCAGCAACAACAGCAGGCCGAGCAGGAGTCATCGTCTGGTAGCAGCAGCGACAGCAGCTTCAACGTCATATCCTACCTTACCGATCTTCTACCGTTCGGCAAGAAGACTCAGCCACCGCCGCCGCCGCCACCTCCCACGTCGACGATCTCGGCGACTCTGCCGCGTCTGCCGCCGAACAAAGCCACCTCGCCCATAGCCTTCGTTTACACGCCGACGACGCCCGCGTCGACTCGTCAGCGGCTCGATCTCAGCGACGACGGCTCGGCGGACGGCTCGTACGATCCCTACAACGGTATTGTAAGCAATCATCGGCCCAGGGACGAGAAGCCCGTGCTGCTGCCGTTCCAGCAGCCGAGCAGCTCGTCGTCGTCGGCACCCTCGCCCCAGAACTTCATGGCGCCCTTCGTAGCGAGCGTGTCGGCCGAGATGCCGGCCAAGAACGGCTGGAGCGTCGTCACGTCGGCGCCGAAGAACGCCAGTAGCGGCGCTTCGTCGTCGTCGTCGTCGACGAGGGACGATAAGAACAGAGAACAGCAACAACAGCAGCAGCAAAATATCGAGAAGAGAACCGGCAACGCCGAGTCGGAAGACGGTAGCCAGGAGACGGAGGCGCAGACCGAGCGAACGAACGCCGAGAATAATAACTCGGCCAATACCGGTGGTAATCCCGGCAGCAACAGCGGCTTCGATCCCGAAAATTTCAAGCCCCAGCTGTTCGGTGGCTTCAAGCCGATCTACGAGTTCCCGGCGAATCCGAGCGCGGGCAACGAGCAGCAGCTCACCGGTCGCAGCGGCAGATCGAGAATGTACAAGTGAACACGATGAGGACGTAAAATGACGCGATCATCGATAAAGAAAAAAAAAAGTATAAAAAAAATTCAGGTCCCGTTCCCTTGGGCATTTCACACGAGCGATCCGCGCTAAAATCGGAGCAAATCGGATGTGCGCTGCGACGATGCGAGCTTCATTCTTCAGGCGCACTCTGCGCGCTCTCTTCCTACCCGCATTCGACTCATGCTGCTATTTTTTTTTTTTTTCAACGATAATAATAATTTTGTAAATACGCGTGTGCGAAGACGGGCGGATTCGTGTGTAGCTCGCATTATGTGCATACATGAAGTATTATACACGTTCGTATAGAGATACGAAAATTTGAAATTTAAACGTAAAAGTAAAACATAAACGAAACGAAATGCTAGAGGGAACGCGATCGGTGTAAAATGCGCGTAAATAGCAGCGCGCGCGATTTGTGTCGAACTCGAAACGACCGACAGAGCCAAGCAGAAAGATGTATATAACGGAATATTTAATATGATTTAATGAGCGAGAAAGAGAGAGAGAGGGAGAGAAAAAAACGAAACGTTTCGTTTAAAGTATTTTCAATAAATATAAATCGTGCAGCCTCGTGAGCACATTTATTATAATATAGGCTTTAATACTTTTAATACATATAATAAATATATGGGTCAAAATAATACTTTTTTACAAAACCGTGCGCACGTATGTCACCGATCTTGACGCGCTTTTGGTATGTTATAGTACATGGTAAAAAGGTCCCAAAAAAAAATTTTTAGACCCCCTCCCCCCTCCTACCCCCCACTTCCGGTATAAACGTCCATTTTCGATCTATATTTTTTCTGAGGACATGAAGCAAGTAAAAAATCTGAAAAAATTCATAAAAATACTTTTCCACAATCCAAACAACCTTGAATTTTTTCAGATTTTTTGAGTGCTTCAGGCCTTCAGATAAAATCATTGAAAATTTCAAAAATCGAGATACGGCGGTATGAGCCGATGTAGTACTCGGAAATTTTTTCAGTTATTTTTCGCATTAAAAAACATAACCTCAATTTTTTTCAGATTTTTTCAGATTACCTAACGCACCTTTTGAAGCCAAAAACCGATTTTTTTGACGAAAATAATTTTTTTAGGACAGTACGGAGCCTCGAAAAATCTGAAAAAAATTTTTTCTTGTTTTTTTCATCAAAATACGTAATCTCAAATTTTTTCAGATTTTTTAATTGAAGGCGATAGCTTCTAGGGCCGAAAAATGCTATTTTTAACAAAAAATGGTTCCTAGAACCCGATGGTTCCGGTGAAAAAATTTGAAAATATTTTTTTTGAATTCCTTGTCAAATTTTAATAAATTTTGACCGTTTCAAAAGTTCGATTGAAGCTTCCTAGCTCATTTTAGAGCATCAAACGAGTTTTATCATTCCTTAATGTCTTCAGAAACGTCTTCAGATATTTTGCACTAATCTTTGTCCTGCTCTAAAATGAGCTAGGAAGCTTCAATCGAACTTTTGAAACGGTCAAAATTTATTAAAATTTGACAAGGAATTCAAAAAAAATATTTTCAAATTTTTTCACCGGAACCATCGGGTTCTAGGAACCATTTTTTGTTAAAAATAGCATTTTTCGGCCCTAGAAGCTATCGCCTTCAATTAAAAAATCTGAAAAAATTTGAGATTACGTATTTTGATGAAAAAAACAAGAAAAAATTTTTTTCAGATTTTTCGAGGCTCCGTACTGTCCTAAAAAAATTATTTTCGTCAAAAAAATCGGTTTTTGGCTTCAAAAGGTGCGTTAGGTAATCTGAAAAAATCTGAAAAAAATTGAGGTTATGTTTTTTAATGCGAAAAATAACTGAAAAAATTTCCGAGTACTACATCGGCTCATACCGCCGTATCTCGATTTTTGAAATTTTCAATGATTTTATCTGAAGGCCTGAAGCACTCAAAAAATCTGAAAAAATTCAAGGTTGTTTGGATTGTGGAAAAGTATTTTTATGAATTTTTTCAGATTTTTTACTTGCTTCATGTCCTCAGAAAAAATATAGATCGAAAATGGACGTTTATACCGGAAGTGGGGGGTAGGAGGGGGGAGGGGGTCTAAAAATTTTTTTTTGGGACCTTTTTACCATGTACTATAACATACCAAAAGCGCGTCAAGATCGGTGATATACGTGCGCACGGTTTTGTAAAAAAGTATTATTTTGACCCATATATATTTACGATATTTAATCTTTGTAATCATCGGAAACGAGTTTCCAGGTGCCCCGATGATGATGACGACGACGTTTTAAGCGCTCGGGCGAAATATTTCTCACGGATGTACAGTCACGCGCGCGCGTCGTTAATCGAGAAAATAAAATGTAAGAAGGATGAATTTTCATTCATCGACGCGCGATCGGATATTGCATATTGAGAGAAATATTTTAGATCGAGCTCGTTGACGAATTATTTATGCGCACGCGTAATTTGCAAAGCGATTTTTCAAGCGCTCGTATCGATAGTGCTGCGACGAGCGCGTGACGAATTCGTAATTGTTGAATGCCAAACTGTATTTGTGTAATTTAATGTTTTTTTTTTTTTTTTAATTATGTTTTTCTTCGTCCTCGTATAGTTTTTACGTGTACTCATTCAATACGAATCGAATTTAAAGCTTGTAATCATCGATTTCATTAAACTTGTTTATATATCATTTGAAATCATTGATAACGTGAAACGTTGCAATATACAATAATAATTAATACTGATAGAGTAAATTTTAAGCGGTGAGTTGTTGTCGACTGTACTACTCAGCTTTCGTAAAACAAAATGTATCTTAAGTAATGTAAAGTTTATTAAATTTGTATCTATGTTAAAATATACAAAATAATTTTAAAAAAAAAAGTATCACTTTTTTCACGTCATGAAGCACTGTCCTCGCTGCTGACACTCGCCATCACCCTCTTCTCCCATTCCCTCTTCATTCTCGCTCTTTCCTCGCACTTGCGAGCTCGTCGCACTTTGCGCTTTTCTTCGCGCTCGTTGAAAAACAGATCACGAAAATTGTCCTCGCCAATCACGCAAGGCGGATCGTCGGACTGTGATTGAATGTGGAAAAAGAAAAGAAAATTATGATTAAGTATTCTGGTACTTGTAAGCTGGTAAAATGAGTGCAAGACCAAATTGAGATTTATATCTTACCTCGACTTCTTTGGTTTTTTCATAAGTTAATAACAACCTACTACTATGACTACTGAGGACTTGTTCTGAATTAGCTACTAGTTCAAGGCACGGGTGAACAGGTAATTGCTCAGAAGTAAACGTTTTTCTGAAAATAGGGAACCAAAACACAACTCTTCCATCCATTTTTAAATGTTCAGCAGCAAAATTCAATAAGTCTTTAAACAGATGTGGTAATGCATAGTCAACTTTAGATGGTATGTGACTGTCTGCTTGTTCTTCGCTAATGGAAACACTATCTTTGGTGGTTCCAATTTTTTCTACAGATTCACGGATCCCATAAGGAGCTACAAATAATATTGTGTCAAGGGTGTTTCAATAAAATTTATCTCTAATTTAGTTAGGTATTATACTTACGATCTGTGACTATTGCATCTATTTGAAAACAAGGTCTCCACGCAGATTTTGTAAAATCTGAAACTATTACATCTAAGTAACGATCTTGAATTCCATATTGTTTCATATTGGCAGCTACGCTTTCATCTTTTTCTCGAACCTATGTTGATTATTTATGATGATATTTTTTTTAAAAATAAATTTACACTGAAATATAATCATACTATGATTGTATTAAACAATTCTATACATACTTTTTGAGTAATTCTACTTGGTCTTGTTCGAGCATGCAACGTTTGGTAATCAATATCAGCACCAAGTGTATATGCACCAAATTTAGCTGCACTGATCAAGACAGATCCAGTACCTACAAATGGATCTAATATAATGTCACCTTCTTTAGCTTTTGTTTGATTAACCATAATTACAGACAACTGTGGATCCATTGATGTATTGCCAATGAATTTTCTTTGCTTCAAAGAAAGTTCCTTCATCAAATTTCTTTGTCCGTCAGTAATCTATAAATTTTAGTATATTTCAAATAAAATTTCTTAAAAATGAAAGACACATATTTTAAAATATACATACCCATCTACCAAAAAACACATTTTCAGGCTTTTCTGGTACATTGTTGGCATCAAGACCATAATACTCTATATAATACAAAATTTTGTCAGGATCTTTTAAGCTTACTGTCCCTTTATAAGGTAGATATTTAAAATTCTAAACAAAAAAAACAAATGATCTAGAAAATGAAACAAAAATGTATAAATGAATATTTTGATTAAAAAACTCACCTCTATTTTATCTATTTTCTCTTTTTGTGTAAAATGTTTGCCAAATGTCTCAACAATAATTTTAAAAGTAGATGACATATGAGTCGATACTAATTCCACTTCTTGCGTCTGCAATTGTAAGTTCAGACAAGACAAGTCAGTTGAAAATGCCCATAATTCTATAATGTATCTCAATAAAATAGATCGGCTTGCAATTTTTCGCGCATCATCTTCTGAATCTAGTTGAACAACCCAAAATGGCTATAACACAAAAGAGATACAGTTACAACTTGACAGATAACAAAAAATGAGAAATGAAGTTCTTTTTATTCTTTTATAGCTCATTGACTTACGTGAATTTTATTTTTTACTATTGAATTACATTTTATATTGAACATGCCAAATATAGAGTCCATTTCCTGTAATCATATTAAAAATAAGTGTCTTTAATATCGTCATAGTAATCTTTTTAGCTTTATTGTTTACGTTTGTTGACACTTACAGCGACTCTGAAATCCACGTGTTCCTGAGCGAACCATAATAAATAATTTTTATATCTAAACTTTTGTGACATGGCTAGTCTTTTTTTTCAACAATGTAACAAAAACAAGTGAAAGAAATTAAAAATGGTCTGTTTTTGCACAAACCATTAAATTAAAACCTAACCGTAAACGCTATTCGCACGTGTGCTGTTCACCCCTGCACAACATATGCTGGTGTCTGTTGACAGCCGGTATAAAAACGCACTATACGCTGGCAGAGCTCAACTGTCGTCTGCTCTGCTGTCGATGACTACTGACTACTCTTAATGACTACTCTTTTGAAATCGAAACTAGAAAATTGTTTATAGGGGCTACTGGTATTTCAAATTCTACCGATAATAAAATTAATGATTCATTTTCAGAAAAATTATTATTAGGTTTCTCTGGTTTGATTCATAATGAAATAAAGGTTACTGTCATGACTGTAGTAATATTATTTATCTCCAATTTTTTCAGAAATTTAGTTTTTAAAAAACGTAATAAAAAAGTTATATAATGTAAGTTTCAAGTAAAGTTTAGGTTTTAGGAAAAACTAATTGAAAAAGTTTTTGAGTTTAAGGTTTCAAGTTTTTGGAAAAAGCTCACTGGTTAAGTGGCATCTATTTGTTTATTATAATTCATAATGGGTATTATTAATGAAATGATGGATTTTGACAAAATTTATAGTATGATTAAAAATAATTTTATTTAACAAATTACATAATCCTTTGAAGTGCATGTATACCACAACATACAGATTATGAATATGTTTATCGCTTTCTGCGCAATGAAAGCGAGTTCTGTTTCTTCCAGTGAGCCTTTCTGGAGCCACCAATGGTATGGCTGAAACGATGGCCTTTGCCAAGACCTCTGGAGCTCTTTCCAGCTGATGTCAAACCACGCATCTCACGATGTTTGTGAACAGCCTTGCAGATCCAGTTGACTTTAGCGTCATTGCGGATAGCCTTGTGGAAGGGATCAACACAGATTACCTCGAAGTATTTGTATGAGGAGTCTTGAGCTACCCAGTAAGAGTTGAGCACTCTCAAACCACCACAACGTCTTCCAACGCGCTCCTGAAAATTAAATAAATGTTTGAATTCTAGTTGAACAGACAGACATACATAATTGATTTAACAAGTCAAATTTATCAGACAGCCAAGGGAAAAAGGTCATCAATTGTATACATTATGAAAAACCATATTTGGTTAGCATCATGGAATTATTTGTCATGTAGAATATGATTGAATGAGATTATTAATCAATTTTACCTCAGCAACTGATTGCAGTTTGCGTGTGGGCTTGAGTTGATTGATACCCTGACCCTTGGGTTTGCCATAAGTGGCACCTTTGGGGACTGGGCGTTTGCGTCCACCACGGCGAACACGAATTCTGAAGATACAGAATCCTGTAAAAAAAAACATTAATCAGTAAAATGTTAAACTAACAGCAGCTTTTTAATATAATGAATTCAATTGTCAGAAAAACATAATCTCCATATATGAGGTAAGAGTGGTGCATGTACAATTCATCATGTACTGATGTACATAAACAAAACCAAAAATATACAAGTGAATGAAGATACATACCCTGCTTAGCCTTGTAGCCCAAACGACGGGCTTTCTCAGGGCGTGTTGGCCTTGGGGCTCTGTGGAGTCGTGTAAGCTGACGATATTGCCAACATCTCACACGAAGGAGGAAGCGCATAACTTCACTCTGCTTCTTGCGAGAGATCTCTGCAATATACTTGTAGGCTCCCATTGTAACCTATTTAATTGCTGAAAACAAAAGGTTCAATTAATAAAACTTATAAAAAACACATTAAAAAAAAAAGTTCATTTTCTAAAGACTTCAGACATCCAAGGAAGTTAAATAATCATCTTTTTTCATTTTGATGAGTGAATGTATCATCATATTGATAACTTGTCAATAAATGAGCATGTTGAAAAAAAACCCTTATTTATGGCTATAAATAAGGCAGTAACAGACACAAAAATATTAAAAACTGCAAGCAGCTGACCACGCGGCCGCAGATTCACGAGGTTATCATTCTTAACCTAATAATGCAATTTAAATGTAAGATAGCACGAAACACACAGTTCAGCGAAAATATGCAAAACGTCAAATAAAGTCGATCTCGTCTCTTTCATTAACAAGTTGCAAATTAATAGTTTATCACTTTACTTATGGATATTTATTGATTATTCTTTGGCCACCATACTTACTTCCACAGATCTTTGACAAAAAAGAACACGCCGCGGTTCGGGCGTGTAACATAAAAGAAGCTTATAAAGGTCGGAGAATCGAATTTTCGTATTCTGCTAGTGCCATCTGTCTGGTGAATATAGAACTAATCGATGAGTTTTAGTTCGAAATAGAATAAATTAAACATTTTTCGGGCAATCAAATTAGGAATAAATTAGGAAAAATTGTATTTTCGTACGTTAGTTTGATATAAACTGATTAAACGGCAGCTACGATGCTTTTCTTCTGACTTTTAACGTTCGTTAAAAAATCAAAAAGTAAATCATATTTGCATTACATTTTACGACGAGGCGAGACACAAAATTCTTCAAAATTTCCTTATTGCAACGATAATTTGTCAATCAATTTTATGAATCATTTTTTAAGGGAGGTCTAACACGTCCTATGTGTATTAAAAAGTGCGCGGGCATTCTGCGACCTGACGATATACGCGCCTTTTAGAATGAACCGGATTGACTTGCACGCATTAATTCGAGCGTCGCTGCTATATAAAAACGAAAAAAAAAATTGAACCGAACCGTTTTAACTCAGGTGCATGCACACGAGGAAAGAGAAAAAGAAGAGAGAGAGACAAAGTTATACGTCGCGAGATATGGACCAAGCAAAGAACGAAAATCGAGAATATCATCTAGGACTATCCACGGTCGCTCTGCGGGACTTTATATCAATGTACTGGGCGTGTAATTAAAGGGAGGCAATTTGACAGATTTGGGTGGATAATTATCGGTGAGAATTGACTCTATTAAAGATTGAAAATTATTTGTTTCATTTTCCAGTCAAACGAATACCCTATAGACTTCTTTTATATACGTGAGCGCTCGCTCGGACATTTTTGTCTCTTGCACGAGCAATTTTTCCACACTATAATTTAAATAATTTAATTTGATTTGACAATTAAAAGAAATTTGAAAAAAGCTACACAAAAATTTGTGTACAAGCGTTAAAACCTGGATTTCGACGAAGGTTTATATAACAATGGATATGATTTTTTCATAATTCTTACATATGTCTTTATGAGTACAGTTAAATGGGATCAATAAGCGGCGCTAACAACTTTAAAAATGTATAACTTTGAAGAGTCGGCACGCAAAAATACCGAAAAGGTAGGAGATGGCATTTGTAAAATTTCGATGTAAGTGTCACTTGAAATGGTTTTTATGCAATAAAGTTTCTCTAGATATTTTCTAGAATAAACTCTATCATGCTTGCCGCTGATCAAAGTATTACCAGGTAATCTTATCATCAGTTCTAAACATTTTCTCGAACTTTTCCTCAACTTCAAATTGAATCATTTTCTTGTAACAGGGTAGATGAGCATCCTGATGCGATTTGTATTAGTTTCGTGAAATTTTGGTTCAATCTTTTCCCTTCGGTTCATATGATCTTCAACATTACTAGTTTAATACCTTCACCTCTTCAAAGTAAATATCATGTATTCGGAAATATTTGCCGCTATTTTGTTCAGTTTCTTTCATTAACAGCCACGGCAAGTATTCATCAGAACTAATTAACAATTATTACAATAAAGATAAGTAAAAATTAAGGTTTTGTGGATTGTAAAAGAGAAGAGAGAAACTAACATTTTCAACAACTCTATGGTTGAATCTTTATTTCAACTTATACTTATTACACATATAACATTCGCTTATATGTACTTCAGAGTATTTAAAACAAAGGTGTATTTTCAGATAGTTAAATTAAATAAAACGCTTGTTATTTTTCAATATTACATGAAAATATTTCAGATTTATCGGTTAATGGCACGAATGTGGTACAATTACAACGAAGATATTCAAAATATTATTTTAAATTTTATCACAAAGGGATACTATATCGGCAATATTCAAGCAGGTTAATTGATAGCTCGACTTTTCAATTTGTTGCGTGCACATTTGGAGATGTCCGTTATTTCCCGACTCTTTTGTATTGCTTCTTCCCCACCTAGATGTATTCTATTTGATTAGACAATAAGAAAGCCGGGTTATAGAGTTTGGAAAAATAATTTAAAGGTGAACCCCAAGCGGCTTGAAGCTGACATGAATTTTAAAAGATTAAAACTTGAAAGTTTGATTCTTATTGATAAAAATGGGAAATTTTTTTTTTTAAATTTACAGACCCAAGTATTACATGTATTTTTTGACGAAGAATTGATTGGTAATTTTCAATTTGACTTCAAACACAATCTCAAAACTACGGCGAATCCAAAAATGATTGTTTTTCACAGTGACCCCCATTTTATATTGCAGACTCGAATAGAGCGAAAATGTTCAAATCTGATTATGTCTTTTGATTTTTTCCAAGGTCATTTCAAAGGTTTCACAGATAAAAATAAACCCTACTTTTAGCGCCCTTTTTACTTAATTATCTGTATCTGCAGCACCTTGAAACAAATCAAAAGACATTCATGTAAGCTTCAAGACGCTTGGTGACCACCTTAAAATCATTTTTTCGAACTCTATATATCATCTTTCTCAATGTCTAATCAAATAGAATACATCTAAGTAGGGATAAAAGCAATATCAAAAAAATCGGGAAATAATGGACTCCCTATTGCACATTAATAAAAGACATAATTTTTTGTTTTTCAGTAACGGTCTTTTTCGTTTGTACTATTTATACCTTTGCTCCTGTAGCTTTACCTTTGCTTTTTACTTTAACAAGTTCAGGAAATGAAACATTTGAGAAAACTTTACCGCTTCACGAAGAATTTTTGATCGACGAAGATAAATATTTTTATATAATATTTGCATTCCAGTTAATCAGTACAGCAGATTTTTGTTTTCTAATAACTGCTTTGATTTTTTTTTACTTTTCATTTTTAGTTAGTATTATTGGAGGAGTTCATGGTTTGAAGTGTGTACTTTATAATTGATAAATTGACCAAATTAGTACGATT